AGCACTTCCCTTGCCATGGATGGAGTCATGCTGTGGTGAGCGTGGCTAACCCGCAGCAATGTGGAGACACAGTGGGGACCTGGGTTGCAAGACTTGCCTACTGTGGGGTCAGGCAGTATGTGGCACTGGCAGGCAGGATGGGCAGCCTCCCCTTAAGAGCCACCATGAACCTCTTGGGAAGGGGGTGCTACGTCCTGATTGATTTCATGGGCAAATCCTTTCCTCTGACATTTTAGACTGCTCTCTAAGACCCTCTTGAGGATGGTTCCAAGCAGAAGCAGAGAAAGAACCATGTATGACATCAGACTATGTGAATCTCTCCACTGCGGTTCTCCATGCCCCTCTTTCATATGCCACCTATGTCCTATCCTTATTCTTCCAGGATTAAAGTCTTCCCTAAAAAGTTTCCCCTAAACTCATCCCCACATGAAAGAAATTATGAGAGGTTAAATCTCTTTCCACCCACAGCAATGTCTTGGAAATCCTTCATTGCATTCCTTCCTTGACTCAGGGACCTTCAGCCTAACTGCTGTAGGAGAAGCTGGCATGTCTCCCAGCTAATGTTCTCTATCCCTGGGGCAGAAGAATAATGCTGTAAACCATGGGGAACCCCCAAGACTTGAGACATTTGGACAAGTAGATCCTCAAGGAACTGAGGAGCTCAGCCTTCAACAGTGCAACACGGCTAACAAGAGGGCAGAGGTGCAGATGCAGGCGCTGCTTTAGAGGATTGGAAATAACCCAAGCTCTGTGATGCATCTCGCAGGTGCCCTCTGAAGGCTCAGGACCCTACATTGGATCTTTCTGGAAAGGCTCAAGTGGTTTTTAGGGAAGAATAAATGGAAAATTCTTCTGTAAGGCAGAGGCTCAGTTATTTAAACAATTTAATATGCATGCTGGGGTAGGATGAGAGCGCATGCGTTACTCGGGAAAGAGTCATCCTGTTTATAGGAAGGGTCCTGGCCACAGCTTTTGTCAAGTCCATTTTAATTGTTTCAACAGTATGTAAAGGTTGTTCATTCTTATTCTGATGTTTGTTTTGGGGCTAAAGGGGGGGAGATATTATTTTCAAGGTAGGATTTGAATGACTGGGGTGAGCTGGGACCAAGAGGGGACTGGACAGGTCTGCAAAGTACGGAAGGATCCTCAGAGTAGAGACCCTCATACTGGATGGAGACTGGTCTCCTTTTCCAGTCTTCTTTTTTTCTTTAAAGATTTATTTATTTATGCATACAAGAACTGGGGTACAGGCCAGAGGTATGGGGGTGAGAGTATTCACCAGAGACAGTGGGGAACAGAACAGGCAGACTGACTGAAATACACTGCTGAGGGGAGCAGCGGGTGAGTCAGGAGAGGTCTGCTGCACCATGTGGGTAGCTCCCTGGCCGGGGATTGAACTCATGCTGCAGTGGCTGCAGATAGCTTCATAGTGCCGTGCTTAACCCCTTGCACCACCAGGAAGGCCCCATATTTCAGTTTTCAAAGTCCTTTCTTTTCTTGTCTAGTACTAAACTCTGCCAGTAGGTAGGGTAGGACTCTGATAGAAAATAGCCAAGGTGCAATCCTTTGGAGACATGCTTGTCTATGCTATAAATATATTAAAAAGAAATGGCCACGTACATAGATGGATTAGCATGTGATACTGTTATTCTCTTCATGTTATAGATGCACAAACCACTGCTTAGAGACACAGATCCCCCCCGCCTCCCTCTAGGGAGTATGAGTCAAGGTTACCACCAGCGATGGGGAGAGTCCTGTCTTTCGATTGCAAACCCAGCCTGTCTACTGGATGGTGCCCCAAATTTCGTGCTAGGGCACGGCTTATCTGTGAGGCCACAGGAAAGGTTACCGGCACAGGGAGAGGAATTGTCAGTCTCCTTTCCCAGTGTCTTTGGGGAATGTCAGTGAAGTTGGGCTAACTTTACAGAAAACCCCTCCAGGGGAAAGACATGGAAGACACAGGAGAACAGAGTGGCAGCTAGGGGGAATGCTCAGCTCAAACTGAAGGGTGATTGGCTGTGCTAAATTCTCTGTCCTAAGACTTCCCACCAGAGGCTCAGGGAGAGAGCTGGCATTTTATAGTAGGAGAGGACCAACTAGGTAAGGACAGCCATTAAAGCATGATCCAGGCACGCTTGCTTGAGAGGGGGCACTTAGCACTGTCCTGAGTTCCTCTTGTCCTGAGATACCTGGGTTGTGTGGGGGGTTGGCCTGCCAGCCTCTGCACCCAGGGGAACCTGCCAGAGATGTCTGCATACAGCCCAAGAGCCTGCAATAGCAAATGTGTACCTCTCTGTGTGTTTATTCCTCTATCTGGAATATTTCCTAATTTAGATAAGTAACAGCGTCAAAAGTTTACTATTCAATTTAAATGCAAGTGAGGCTCTGGAAGCTGGAAAATGTCACAGAAAAGTTCTGGAATTCAACTAAATTTCTCACGACTCACGTACCATTGATAAGACATATAATAGATTGTTCTATGCACACTTAGATTTACTTATTTTTAGAGGAATGCAGAAAAGAAAATCTTTGAGTTTCAAAATAGCTAGAAATAGGTTAAACAATGGAATCTTTTCAGATTTTGGCTATACTGAAAGTTTCACATGTTCAGGCTTCATTCTTTAGTCATGATCTCAGCCCCGCTCCCCCTCCACAGAACATACATTCATAGCCACGTGAGGAATTCTATTCGACCTTAACCCCAAACAAAGCAAAGGTGGTTAAGATAATTGAGCAAAGAGGACAATTTAAAAATCAAATATACTTTCTTGCAAACGACTTCAATTCAATTGTTAGCAAGATGTTCAATCTTCTTTTTCTGAATCACTCTAATTCAATGTACAGTATAATATGTCCTGCCTGGGAAGAAGTTCAAGTCATAAGTACTCCAGGGAGATATCTAATAGCTCGAAATGGCCTTTTCAAGTGGTCAATAAGCTCTAAAAGACTGCAAAAATATTAACCGGTGGAGCTTGGCCTATATGCTCCAGAACCAGCCCGTTTCCCCACCATACCCTCCTTCTTGTTCCAGGACTATCTGGGGCTGAGTCCCAAAGAGCTGGCACGCGGGCTACTCTCAGATGCCAGAGGATGGTGGGAACCTCATCCCCGCAGACTGCAGTCAGTGAAATGAGGGCTGCCGGTCTCAGTCATAACAACTGACGCGATCTGTGATATCTTCCTCTCTTGCCAGAACCAGAGCCGGGTCCGCCAGCGTGTTTGTGTTGGGTGTGCAAGAGAGAGGCCATTTGCCCTGAGTGTCAGAGTCTTTATGGTTATGGCAGAGTGTGGGAGACATATCCACAAAACTAGGGTTAGGATTAGAATAAAGAGGTGCTAATGGGGTACAACTGGGGAGAAGAAGGGAAAGTGTTGGGAATGCAATGGAAAAAGAGGGTTGAAGACAATTTAAATTAAAGGGGAAATACAGGAAAATATAAAGGAAAGAGTCATACATCTCTGCATTTTAAAGGTCAAACAGTTATGATAATATAGAAAGGCTCTTTCACCTTCCAGATTCAACCGTGGGTAGCATTTTTGCTTCTTTAATGAAGTTTATGCCGTTGGGTTTTGGGGTTCTATTTCCAGGTCCCAGGCTCTGTCCTCCAATCAGGTGCCTTCTACCTGCAGCAGCTACGTGTTCTGCAGATGCCACAAGTCTCCAACCCAACTTCAGTTTTTACTTCTGGATTAAAATGCTCTGATTATCTACTACTCATTCTCCAAGGTCAACCTCTTCATTTTCTTCACCTGCTAGCCCAAGTCCATAAAACATGATTCTTGAATGGATTCCTAAGATCCTTCTTGCTCGGTCATGTCCTTGAACTCAAGTTGACCTCTCCTCTAAATTCACTTAATCTCCTTCTCATTGCTGGCATAGGAGCCAGGCTGTGTCCGCTTTCAGGGGACACTGACCTGCCTAAACTCTGTCTCATCATATCGGCAAGTCTATCCTCTGTTGGTTCTACGTGTGTGATCAATCGATCACTCGATTGATGGCTTTGTAAGGTGGTTGCTCATACCCAAGATGCTCAAGAAATCTTCCCAAGTGAGCTGATCCTCACGGGCTGACCCTCAGGGTAAGGGTAGAATTTCAGCCTTAATTTGCCAAGAGTCACATAAAAGCAATTTAAAAAGGCCTTGCCTTCTTGCTTGCCCTCCTGTCTTCTCCCTCTCTCACTCAGTCACACACATTTTACCAGTTTAACAAACAAAAGGGGTCGGAGCAAAAACCAAATGCTTTAGGAAAGCACCAGGCAAGTGGCACAAGCTGAGCTTAAGAAACCCCCAAACTGCCACGTCTCCAATCAAACCTAACAACAAAAGGTCAATGCGCCTTACCTGGAGGTACAATGTCACAGAACAAAAGCCACATCCCGCAGTCCAGAGCCACCACGGGAGCCAGGGGAGACACTACACGATGGGGGAGTGACGACGGCACACAAGGTCCACCAGGCGCTGCAGGCCTCACAGGTGACACATCTCACACAGTTCAATAGGCTGACAGCCCAAGAGAATTCATTTCAGCGCGTGTGAGCGCCTCTTCCACGCAAGCCAGGGCTGTGAATAGACTTTCTAAAGGATTCCAAGCAATCAACACCAAGCTCTGAACTCACTAGAGTTCATTTCAGACAATGAAATGGGCCAAGCACCAACACTAACCTGTGTGTGCTCACTCACGCGTGCTCACGTCCTGTCCGTGGTTTCCTTTTTCTCAGAGACAAAGAAACTTGGGGGAGCCGGCATGCACCAGCTAAAGCCTGCCCTGTGTGAGATGCTCTTGATGGTCTCCTCTCAGATACCTCCCAGCTAGGGACGGTACAGCTTTAGCCGTGCTCTGGCAGGCAGCCAGACCTTCAGCATTCGGAGCAAGTATCGGCCACTCAGCAACAACAGGACACGGCACGGAGCGGCACTGGGGTTGCTGTGCACCATCTCCTGGTGCACGGGGCCTGCTGCCCCGACCCTGCGGGCCCAAGCTTGAGCACACAGCTCCTTACCGTGCCTGGCATGGGTGTGAGTTGCACCTGCGGACCTGGGGCTCTGGGCGGCTAGCCTGCGGGCAGTTGCTGTCATTCACCAGCGTCGTGGTCTTGTTCACAATCTGTGTGCAGGACACGATGGTTCTGCGTTCACCTGGAAACCAAACCACAGGAACTAAGAAGCTGAGGCCATAAACCCCTGGCATGACCATTTGCTCACATTTGCGGGGGTGGGGGGTACTCAGAGGCCTCTGAAGATCACTGAGTGATTTTGGGTGACTGTTGCAAGCAAGGTTGCACTGGTTGTTAGAGAGGGAGAACCATATTTTTAGGGATGAGGGTGTGCAGGCAGGGCAGGGGCTGCTGGGGTAGGAGTGATTTCAAACCAGGATCAGAAGAGGCAACTTCTCAGACCATGTCCTTGGACAAATTAGGCTTCCTGAGGCCAAACTCTAATGTGGGTCTGTAATTTCTGCCCTGAATCACCAATCTTTTTATCTATTTATTTGATGTTTAGTTTATGGAGATCCAGTCTCAATGAAATATCTGTACACCGGTCCTCACCAGAGATCACAGCTTCCCATTACAGGATTCCTACTGGGTAGGGAGGAGCGAGGGACAGAGAGCTGGTCTGATGGACTCACAGGCCGCACCCTGCAAGCAGGTAGCCTAGAGCCCACCAGAGAACTTACTGAGCTGGCCAACTGCTACTAATGCCTATGTATCACCTGCTTTGGGATGATGGTATCAACAGTTAGCCACCGTGCTTCTGTGCCTCAGTTTCCCCAACCAGGCGGCTCACTTCATCTCCTTGTGCCACTGAGAACTTGAGAGATGGTTAAAAGAAACGGAAACAGTACTCAGTCTGGCAGGGGTCAATACTTCAGTGAGCCATTTTCCTGCTGCTGTTTCTATAATTTGGGATGTGGCAATGAAAGATGATTAGAGTCAAGCACAACTACTTGGCTCCCAATCTCCTCCCTGGGTCTGATTGCTGGGAAGTACTTCCTGTAGGGATGACTCCAATTGAGGAGTCCTGAGCTGCATGTCAGCTCCTCCTGCCCACAACTGCAGGAGGGTAGAAAGCATGAGCTGCGGAGGGCCAGATTTAAGTTCTGGCTGTGGCCTGACATCAGTGTCAGGGTGCTGGGAGCCCCTGCAATACATGGGCTGCACCATTGGCAACTCCAGCAGCAGAAAAGCATCAACCCTGGCTGCTGTGCCCAGCTGGGGAGAGTTTGCTAATATCCCATTGGGGCCTGGGCTAGTCCGCAGCAAGCTGTCCATAAGGAAAAGTCTAGTGCAATCAGGGTCATGGGTGTTGGCTGGATTTGGAATTTGGAGGATCGCCAGCACAGAGGGGCAGCAGAGGGCCAGAGGGAGGATGACAGGGCTGATGGTGTAATCCTGAGGCCATGCCAGAGGGCACAGGGTTGTTTGAGGAAGAGGCTGCGGACAAACAGTGAGTCCAGCTGCGCCAGAGAGGGAAGGATTCACAGTTGATCCTGTAGTGTCTGATGGGCCCAGTCATGTGTGGCTGTCATTCTGAGCCACTAGAAAGGAGACAGGCCACTTAAATGGTAAACAACCCTCTGTACATTGAGGATCTGACAAACGTCATCTTAGCAGTCAATGGCCACTCAGGACTGGCTCTGGGTGGGGCCATGCCCATCCATCAGGCTCCGCACTCATGTTCAAGTAGCCATCCTGGTCAAATTCTGTCCTAAGTCTATGCCCAGGGCCTCCTCTCCTACCTGTGCAGAAGCCACACACAGGCCCAACCTGAACTCACTGAGCAGCCAGTTGGGCAGAACTTTTCTTTTTTTTTTTTTTAAGATTTATTTATTTATACAGGAACCGGGGTACAGGCCAGAGGTGTGGGGGGTGAGAGGATCCACCAGAGACAGAGCAGGGAACAGAACAGGCAAACTGACTGAAATACACTGCTGAGGGGAGCAGCGGGCGAGACAGGAGAGGTCTGCCGCACCATGGGGGTTGCTCTGCGGCTAGTGGAGATTGAACCGGCACTGCAGAGGCTGCGGACAGCTTCACAGCGCTGCACTCAACCGCCTGTGCCACCAGGGAGGCCCCTGGGCAGAAATTCTTTGAGTCTGGAACATTCTGCCCAATCATTTTGTGGAAACTGTCTGTGGGATGTGGCTGACTTCCTGCGGAAATGCGGGGAATATAGCTGACTTCTCCAGGGATCTGGGCGCAGGCCACTAAATGCCCGGATTCATTTGCTCCTCCCCCAGCACAACCCACACAGGGCCCCTGGGCTGCTCACCGCCTCCGCACTGCACACTGCACCCGTCCCAGCCGCTGTGGGTCCAGAGGAACAGAGAGTCCTGGGGTTTTTCTGGCTCACTCTGATTTTCGGCAGTATGATTTACAGGAACGGTATATTCATAATGAATTCCATAATTTTGGTCATGAAATAACAACACCTGGATCAGCAACAAAATAAAAGGCTATTTTAAAACTGAGCGAGAGCCCACAGGTGGCTGAACAGGCAGGCATAGCCACATGTGTCTCCCTGGGAGGAGTCATCAGTTCTTTCTGGGGTTTCCAAACAGGCTCCATCATGGGGCCCTCCTTTCTTTTGCCCTGGGGTCCCCACATACACAACCCCAGGTTGCCAGGGGGAACATGTAGAAACTTCGCCAGGTTGCTATCTCTGCTCTTTCCTCCTTGAGAGAGGACGGTGCAGCCAAGGAACCCAGAATGGGCAGGCTGGTGGTCTCTAAGCACACTTCGCAAGAAGAACTGGTCCCCTGCCCTGCTCACCCGAGACGCTTCCCTTGCAGACACAGCAACCCAGAATATACTGCCGCCTCACAAACTAGGCAACTATGATTCTTTGCAATGAGCATCGCCCTCAGCTCCCCAGCACCCAGTACCACCGTATCAGTGAGTCAGGGGAGAGCGGCACCAGGCACACACAGCGCACCCCAGGGCAACCTTGGGGGCATCTGTTTGGGATGCTAAGGGTGCATGGCTCTCGCTGTCATGGGAGCTAGCAGGAACATGTGGTGGCCTGGCTCAGAGCCTCAAGCCAGAGGCCCTTAAGGGGTGGGGGAGGCATCCTGCAGCTTGGGGACCTTGGTTCTAAAATCTGCTCTTTGTTTGGTGCCACATGATGCCCTGCTGGTTATTTTCTCTGCACATAATGGAGCAACACCAGCCCTCTGTGGACATGGCTAGGCTTGGATGGTGTGTCCTCAGGGTAGGCTTGGAACCTCCCAGTGGGCGCTTCTGGGTCTAAGCAGCTTGCAAGCTCACACCCCCAGGCAAGGCAGTCCGGGAGAGCTGGCTGGTGGGAGCTACAGGCAGAGCGCGCCTCGCCTGGCTTGACTTGGGGGAGGCGTGATGGCAAGTGCCAGAGATGAGAGTCCTCTTCCCTTCCAGGCATCTCCCTGCCTGCCAAGGGCTTGGGGTGCAGGGTGGGAGGTGGGTGTTGAGAGTAGCCTAAACTGTACAAACATCCGCTTCTCCAAGAGACAGACTTGCAGTAATGCATTCGGAAAAAATGCCTCCAGTTAAAAAAAATCACCTCTTTAAAAGAGATCTTTATTATCTCAGTATGGGAATAAGACTGGTGAATGGAGAATCCAGATGAAACCAATTTCAAGCAATTTTGTAGCCATATATAATTTGTGTGTGCTTGTGTATAACTGGTTTCAAATGCAGGGCCCTGTGGCTCTGGGGGTGCTCCTAAGCCTACAAGCACTGTGTGAACCCAGTTTGGGAAGGACGGCCTTCTTTTTAGAGGTAGAGGGGAACCTCTTGTTTCTGAATTTAAAAACAACTTGAAATAACCATCCTATTGAAAGACAGAAAAGTGATTCACATTTCAGAAGCTGGAACTTGAGCAATGGTAGTCGCCGCCACTGCTGTTTTGTTTATGGAGGTCTGAGTGAATCCAGGCTGTGCATTTGCTTAGCGGGTTGATGACTCCTTCAGTTAGGAACAGCTTCAGAGAAAGCAGGGAAATATACCTGACCTGGCATTTGCTAGAGGAAGCAAACGCACGTGCTGACTGGTGATGCGGTTGTAAGGGCTTTATCCTCTCTTCAACTCCCTCCCTGAGTCGATCTGAGTAACTGCTTTTAAAGCAAAACAGGACTTGATTTAATGACTTAGACTAGGAAACGATCTCAGCACAGGTACAGGTTCTTGGGTCCCAGAAATCAGCTTGCAAGAATAAATCTGCAGTAGACATGGGGGCTGAATTTGCACGGGCAGGTGTCTGGACGGTGGAAGTCAAGCTCCAGCCGGTTCGCTCTGTTCTGCAGGGTCTCTGGTGCTCCAATGGCAGGCATGGGGTGGTGACCCACATCTGAAGACGTGTGAGGCTATCCCTCTTACTCATATATAGTGTTGTAAGTCAGTACCTCAATAAAACAATTCACAGAGAAATCACATGGAGAGCGAGGCTGTCGTGGTGACGTCGCGGCGGGCGCTGGTGTGCATGCACATAGCTGGTCTCCTCAGTCGACTCCTTGGGAGACGGCCAGGGAATCTTTAGGGTATCACCTAACCTTGAATGGCTGCAGGTTGCCAGAGACCACAAGTTAATGGAGAAAAAGATCTTCCAAGTAGAGCCTTTGGCAAGCACTGAGGACAAAATGTGCTTTGATGACAGACACTCCAGAGGCCACAAATCCCATTCTTTGGAAGGAAACACGGAATCAATAATTATGAGCGATCAGAAGTTAGCCATGAGAATTCTTGGACCCCAAGAAGGAAACAGTAGCATTCCTTTCCCTGGAGATCCAAATATTCTTAAAAAGATGCAACACCGGATGTTGAAGTGGTTTGCCTGGCGTTGTCTCTGAGACAGCAGGTAAGACAAGGGCGCTCTGATCAGGGTGTGGGCTTTCTGAGACCACCTGGGAAGTAAATATTTCCCCTAGAACCAGATTTCTCCTCCTGGTTCCTGAATGCTTGTTGCAAGCCGAGTCTGGAAAATCTGAGTGATGTTGGTTTGGAAATAGAGTCAACAATTCATTTCCAAAAGGTAGTTTCCAACGTGGATATATAAACGGTGGGGCGGATCTCTGCCATCTGATATAAAAACACAGACTTTGAGCGGGGCTGTCTGCTGACTGAGGCCAAGTCTCCCTGGCTGCCTCATGGCTGAGCATTTCCTTCCTGGAGGCAGCCCTTCTGAGAGAGATGGGCGCTCTGCCAGTGGAGTCCGGGAGAAGTTTGGAGAGGGGAGAATTCTAAGCATGAGGCAAAAGGGATGACCGTTGAGCAGTGAGCCATGACCGCTGAGCAGTGAGCTAGGGTGCCAAGCTCCTTTCAGTAAAAAACCTGCACAGAACTTAGAGTGGACCCCCCATATACAAACGTTCCACAACCGAGGATTCTATCAACACCTTTAGTTGGTGGAATTCGTGGGTGTGGAACCATGGGTAGGAAAAAAAACCCAAATATAAGTAAGTGGTCCAGAACATTCAAGCCTGTGTTGTTCAGGGGTCAGTAGTAGAAAAGGGAAGGCCAGGATAGAGGCTGGGGTAGCAGGTGGCCAGGGAGACCACCAGGGAGCAGGTACACCCCCGCCCCCCAAACTCTTGGGGAAGGAGTACACCAGAGACCTCTCGAGGTGTCAGTCTCAAGACAAACATAAACACACAGCCAGTTACCATCAAATGCAGTGGTATTTTGGTTGGTCCCTTCGCGGAAATTTTCTCCCACAGGCCTCTTCTGACATAGCGGACAGTGGTGCCGGCGATCTGGAACTCTCCAGGGAGCTCTATCTTCCAGTCGCTGTTGATGGATCTCTTACTGGAGTCTTTGAGAGCTGGAGAGAAAATGGAATACTGTGGAATCAGGGGATTCAGTGCCTGTGAAGAGAATCCAGGTCTCACTCTGGTGGTGGTGGTGGTGGGGGGGGGGTACGGGGAAGGGGCCTGTTTGCAATGCCCTGAGGACAGAGCTGACTTGCAGGGCACTGAGGACTTGAGACGCCCAGGAGCTGCCCTGACTGCTGCCTGGCCCAGCCTGAGGGGTCAGGGTCAGGTCCCAGAGACCACAGTCACACTTCATTAACCTTACAGAAAAGCATAGGGTTTTCTCCCTGAGGAGTGAATCCTGTTTTAATGTGTCCAAAGCTACAAAACAGGTTTTGCTGCTTTAGTAAAACTCACTGGCCTCTTTCTTTGACACCTTCTGGGACTTTAAAATTTTTTTTTTGATAGTTAAAGCTTTTATTATATGATCAAATTAAAACAAAGGTGAGGTTGCTATATGGGTTTTATCTTTGGCAGAGACTGGGAGAAGAGACTGGTGGGATAGCGGATCCTAGACAGCAGCTTCTTCCACCCCCTGACCCACCTGGGGCTTCTTAGGGAGGGCAGCCTAACTCCAAGTTCTCTCGGGGAATCTAAGAACTACCTCTCTGTTAGGAATGTGAATGTGCCTTCAAGTAACACGCATCAGTCCATTACATGTTGGAGTCTGGACACCCAGCTGACAACAGACATGGTGGTAATGCCCGGTCCATGCCTGTGGGTATGTGGGGCCTGCACCCCCACACCCTGGCTCTGTGGGCTGCACCTTCAGATGAAAGGTGTCAGAAGAGACAGGAAATCAGCATTTTGCATAAGTAGAGATCTGGCTTTTCAAACAAGCCATGGATATAGGGTGACTGGGGACTAACCAGGGACTGGGTCTCCCCACTCCTACGTTTGGACGACATGCTGTTCTCAAGAGGAGCGCACCTTGCGGTGCAATTGCTTGTTGGTTTGTGTTGTTACTTGAACTAACTAGAACCTTCTTTGGCATTCAAAAGGCAGCCAATGACAAGAAGAGACAGCAAGTCTTGATGGTACCTCAAAAAACCAAAAGTCCCAGCACCGTGCATCAATGCCCATACTCTGCACGTGGCTCTGGATCCCCTGGTCCCCCGAATGCTCGCAACCACTTGGGGATGCTGCCGGGTCCATCAATGCAATTGGGACCTAGCCTGGGCCTAGTCTCTGCTGACCCTGGTCAGAAATACAGTGTCCGTATGAACAGATTTGGGATGATGACAGTCGAATGGAAAGGGGTTTGTTTTATCCCTGAATTCATGGGCCCCAGGCTGGGTCAGGCCCAGGCAGGCCCACAGGCAGCTGGGGGCGGGGTGGGGAGGGGGCTCTGCTCCTTTTCTCTGGGACATTGTAGTCCCAGTGCCTGTCCCTGTCCCCAGGCACACGCAGAGAGGGCACCTCAGGACTCCTTGCATAGAGGCTTAGAGGGAGCACCAAGAGACACCAGACCGGAAGACACTGATCGCCAGCAGAGCAGATTCCAGGCCCTTGCGCACGACCAGTGGCTGAGGCCTGATCGCAGGACTCCAGAGAAGCTTAGAAAAGAGAGAGTTCCACCAGCTGCAGTCAAATGTTTCCTTTCGAGAAAGTCTACCTGCTTTTGAAAATTCCCTGTTACTGACAGGGAGGACGCCTGGATGAGTCGCCATTTCTGCTCATTTTTAAACATTTTTTATTTTTTTATTTTTAATTTTCTAGAGGCATGTCTTATTTATTTATTTATTTATTATTTGTTTGTTTGTTTGGTTTATACAAGCACTGGGTACAGTCAGAAGCGTGGGAGGGTGAGAGAATTCACCAGAGCCAGAGCGGGGAGCAGAGCAGGCAGAAGGACCGAAGTACACTGCTGAGGGGAGCAGCGGGCGGCAGGAGAGGTCTGCGCGCCATGTGGGACCCTCCTCCGGTGGCCGGGGAGCAGCCGGGGATCGAACCGGCTGCAGAGGCTGCAGGCAGCTTCGCAACCCAGCGCTCAACCGCTGCGCCACCGGGGAGGCCCATTTCTGCTCATTTTTATCTCTTCCTCTGCTGTTACCTGCAAGGCACCCCTTACAGGGCAGGCTCTTGCTAGAGCTCCTTTATATGCTGTTACCCCCGCAGACATCCCAGCTCCCTAAGGTCAAGGATTAGTTCTCCTCTTTACACAGATGGAGAAATCAGGCACAGAGAGGTTAAGTAACCTGCCCCAAAGCCACAGAGCCACGAGGTTTAGAGTGGAGAGCTGAACCCAAACAGACCCAGCTCTGTGCTCTTCCCGTTCAGGCAACTTTAGTGCCCACATTTCCAGGCTATCAGAAGGTCTGGATTTTTATGATCAAAGTCCAAATGTGGGCCTCCCTGGTGGCAAGAGGTTAAGCAACGCACTATGATGCAATCTGCAGCCTCTGCAGCACGAGTTCGATCCCTGGCCGGGGAGCTAGCCACATGGCACAGCAGACATCTCCTGATTCACCCGCTGCTCCCCTCAGCAGTGCATTTCAGTCAGTCTGCCTGTTCTGTTCCCCGCTCTGTCTCTGGTGAATCCTCTCACCCCCCGCATCTCTGGCCTGTACCCCAGGTCTTGTATGCATAAATAAATAAATAAATATTAAAAAAAAAAAGCCCAAATGTGCAAAGGTCATACTGTCGTCAGAAAGGACACATTCCAGGCTCGAGCTGCAGCAGAGTCTCACGTCCTCTATATACTTATAAAATAATGTGCAGGATAGTCAAAGCATCCAGGGAACTCATCTAAAATATATTTGGTTACGCTAATTACTGGGGAATGGAGGTGAGCACTGTTGTTTCAGTTTCTCTGTAAGTTTGGAAAATTATTTCTTACACACGCTCATGTAAATTTGGTTGTGCGGGGCCAGGGTCCTCTAAGAAATGCCTCAGAAAGAACAGGCTGGGGAGCTCAGGGAGAAGCACACACAGGCCTCACCCTTTATTGGGGCCTGCTAGCATACAGCTCCTGTTCTTAGGTGGCTCCACAGTAGGAAGAGAGACAGGTGAGAAAACAGAAAAACACAGAACAATTTCCCAAGCCCTGAGGTGGAGGTGGCCCAGGCCAGGTGTGAGTGGGTGGGGAGCATCTGGGGCATGCGGGGATGTAGGGCAAGAAGCATGGGCACGCCTGGAGGTGATCAGTTGCTCCTGACCCTCAAAGGCCAGGACTGACCTTGCTAAGATCAGCTTTGGGGGTGGCAGAAGGAAGAAGAAGACTTGCTGTTATTATTCTAGAACCATAACTTGGAGTCAGAGAGATGAGCAGTTTTTTCAAAGCTGTATGCTCACCACCATTACACTTAGGCCACCCATAGCCCCCACTTGCTGTGAAGACCAGGGGCATGCTGGTTTCCTCCTCTCTGGACCCACCCACATACTCTAGTCAGCCCCCACATTCAGCGCCATGGGCTGGGGCCTTGGAGGTAAAAGCTCTGACCCTGACCTTGCTCCTATATGATGGCTGCTGGGAAGGTCCAGCGTGCTGCTGCCTGGCACCCATTTCACCTTCAAGTAATGACTCCCAACACCAAGGTGCTTCTCTGGGGAGATGTTCTTCCTCCAGTATGTGGGGCTGACCCTAATCTCCACCCCAGCTCCAGGCATGGCCTGGACAGCGAGAGCCAATTCCAGGACTTTTCTATTCACTTCACGCAGCAGCAGTCCCCTTTCTACTGAGTTATCCAGAGACGCGGCATAAGCCTGGATCTGCAGCATGTGGGAAGATTCCCCAGAGTCAATCAACTGAGGGAGGACCACGGATAGAAAGCCAGGATGGAGATGATTTCCCATGACATCATTTTTAAGCCCCCGGATCCAGCAGTGCCTGAAGCCAACCAGCAGCCACAGAGAACTGGGTTTGGCTTTCACATATGGCTTTTGGAGGTTGGTTTTAAAAAATACTAACCATGATAGGGGCAGGCCAGGTAGGGAAAGAAAGCTATTAGTGTGAATTCCTAGAATTCACCCCAGGACCTTGACTAACAAAGCTTAGGACCCTGAAACTTCGAAGGCCTGGCACATCCACGCTTTACATGCATACCTGAAAGGGTCTCCTGGGCCTTTACTCCTGTCCAGGCATGAATGCGCCGAGGAGGTGGCTCCGTCCCCCAGCATGGCTTGTGCATGTCCTTTCCTGGCCCTTTCTGCAAGGGGCTTTAACATGACTTACTGAATTGCAAACTGAAAACGACCCCCTTCTGTGCCAAAAGTCAACATCTGGGCGGTCAAGAGTGGGAAGAACTGGGAAAAGCGCAGCAAGGCGCGCCTGGAGGTGATTACAAAACTATCCACAGAAATACCATGCAGAGCTGACCTGGGAGCCCTGCTTCTGTGGGCAAAGGCACCCACTGGGGGTGACAGAGGACAGAGGACAGCCAGCTGCTTGGGGCCTGCTACCCTGTGATCCCAGGAGCAGGGCGCGGGGGTCCAGGAGGTGGTCTGCAGGGTGGGTGGGGGAGGCCCTGGAGGAGTGGGCGCAGTTGAGGAAGCGGGGGGAGGGAGAGGCAGGCTGTGGCTGAGGGGCTGTTCCAGAGCAAGGCTAGCAGCTGAGTGGGAGAACACCCCAGTGCCGGGGGCGGGGTGTGTGTGGCTGGAGACATGCTCTCCGTGGAGGTCACGATGGATAGTCTGAGGCAGAAAGGTGACACCAGGAAGGGTTCAGGATCCCCTGTGACCTTGACGAGCCAGAGCTGGCAAGAGATGCCAACAATCAGGTCTGGCAAGCCACGCATGGCAGGCGTGCTGAAGGCGCTTGTCTTTGCTTTGGAGGTCCTGGTCTGGGGCTGCTAGGTGGTGAAATCTCACACTCTCCCAGCTAGCTTCGGGGTGTGTGTGTGTGTGTGTGTGTGTACTTTCATGGCCCCAGAATGAATAAACTTTGCATGCCCAAGTCTGCTAGCTCCCTCCCCCCCACACCCCCAGCCCCCACGCAGCACTGCAAGCTCCCAGGCGCTGTAAACACTGTAAAGCCCCACAGCTGCTGCTTGGCCTCCCACCAGACAGCCAGAGCCCCTTCCCTGGGACAGTCAAGCCTGACAACATCCTTTCATGCACTTTGCAACGAGAGAAAACCAGAAGCAAAGTTAAAAGCAGGTCAGCAGTTCCGCGCAGCACGGGCATGGCTGCACACCTGTGGGCTGCAGGTGAGTCATGTAGTCTGCAAGCTTCACAATTTGCAGGTCACTGAGACATGGGAAGTTCCTGCTCTTTAATTCGAATAGCGCCTGACACACTCACGGGCCAGACTTCTGCTTGAGGGATACGATCATAAGATCGAGGGTAAACACGTTCAATGCGGAGTCCACTGTGACTACTCTGGGGACCGTGGCAGCTCCAGAGAAGAAGGCAGAGCCCCCTTCTGGCCCATCTGCACAGCCTCCATCCCTGGGAGTGCATCACAGGGCAGGGCTGGCCGAGCAGGTGAGGCCAAAGTTCCAGGAGCCTCGCGTGCTTCTCCCACGAACCTGCACACGATGCTATACTGCTTTTTGTAAGGAAGGTGCCCCAAATTAACGAAGTGTGGGGCCCTAAGTTCCTTCTTCTCTTGATCCCGGCACATCAATGGGTATATGCAAGCCCCCTTTGCAAGCACTTTGAGATTAGCTGGTATTTGAAACTAGGATTTGGGGGCCTGGAAGCTTAACAAGATGATTACAAATGCTTTGACTTAAACGCTTTGAGTTAAATACAGAGTGACACGCTTCAATCCGTGACATCTGAAGTTGTGATTTACTGGGAGATAAATCATTGGGATCTGCCTGAGCCAGAGGCTGAATGTTTTCCACCCCTGCCCAAAGTATCAAATATTGTGTATTTTGCCATTAGAAGCATCTCAATAGCTATAGACACTTGTGTGCAGTTGAGGATGGGGGCGTTAGGTCTCATGGCTAATGTCCATTTCTGCCCCCAGCTCCTTTCTCCCTGTGGACATCGACACATCCTCCCTGGACTCCTGGGCACCTTGGTTGAAGGTGATGAGCCATTCTGAGACTTGAGGAGGGGGCGTTGCAGAGGGAAGGGCCCTGCTACTATTCAGAGTTGGCGGGCAGCAGAGGTCCCGACCTGACCTGTCCTCATGCCCTCTGGCTGCAGGCGCCATGGAGAAGGCAAGTTCTTTTGGTCTCCCTGCCCCTCAGATTCCACTGGAAGACCTGACCCGCCGTCAACCTACTTCTAGTCCTGGCACTGAGTCAGCACCTTTTATTTCCACTCGGAGTTCTGCCAGCGCCATTCTTAGCTATGGATGCGAACTGTAGAGGCATTTCCTGTTCCAGGTGGTTTTGCACAGAAAGCCAGGCAGCGTGGGCTGAAGGTAGGTGGGGTGGAATTCTTGAGGAATTGCTCCAGTGAATGTGAGAGTAATTCAGAGCTACACTGGTTGGCTTCCAAAGCACCCAGCTCCAAGTGGAAACCAGGCTTGTTTGAAATAACTTTAGAAACAAAATGAGCATGGACCACCTTCGGGCTTGCTCTTGAGCACACACCAGGCCCTGGGGACTGGGATTATGATCTGTGGGTAAGATACGGGGATCTTACAGGAGACTGGAAAGCTGGTTCCGGTCTCCCACGGAGGTCCTGTGCCTCTGGGGAGCTGAGAAGGTATCCTGAGACACTGAACCTTGGGATGGGGGTTCATCTCTGAAGTCCACATGACAGAGTAGTAGCAACAGGCCAGACAACTGGCCAGACAACCTGTGTTGTCACCTAAGGATCTCTGGCTGTGATTGAACATCTCAGAGAAATTCTGGGCTGTTCTATATGAATTGCAGCTGGCTCAGATGAAGTGGGGAGTGCGGACAAGCTACAGAACCTCTGGGACTTCAGTGTCCTCCTTGGCCTGTGAAACAGGCATAGCAATCTCAGGCAGTACATTTGGGGGACCAGGTCTGTAAGCAGAGCAGGGCTCAGTGATGGGAGGCTACTGATATTGACATAAGTGTGGTCATCCACATGGGCAGTGCCCAGGTTGCAGGAGCTGTCAAGGACTATCTTGAAACCATCCCTTGCCCCAGGCAGCATCCAATGGCTGTTACATACTGGCTCTAAGGTGAGTTCTAGTGAAAATTTCATTTTCACTCTCAGGATTAGAAATTAGGTAATTGCCTGGCTCCTCACCATCTTGTTATTCTTACACTGCCGCAGAAAAGTAGAAAGAAAATATTCCTGCTTTCCCCAGATTCCTGGGGCTGGGGTCAGATGGAGAAAGGATGCTGGGGAATACCAGGAGCCGTGACAAGAAGCCAAGGGACTTATTTGCAAGGCACCTGCCGGTGTTTCATGGAGGCAAAGGTGACCTTGGAATTGAGCTGGCTCCTGGGATACTGGGGACATGGTTCATGAATAAGGTGACGCTGGCCTCCCAGAGGAGCCAGTATCCCTGGGGAGCAGCTGTCTCAGCTAGGGGTGTCAGTTTGGAACAGTAATTTTTTGGGGGGATGGAGCTTCTGAAGCAAATGCCAGTGAACTTGACTCTATTTCCTTAGGTGAGCAGAAAGAGAGGGGGTGGACTCCTTGAGAATTTGGTTAAAAGGCCTTCACCTTGAAGAAGCTGCCAAAGGCAACACAAGGTTCTGTTTCTGAAAGCACCTGTGAGCATTGTTCTATTGGCAGAGTGACAGCTGGGACAGCGGCAGAGAGGAGTGTCAGGCTAGACAGGACAGTGTCCGTGTCAGGGAAGTGGGAAACGGACTGATGAAGACCAGTGTGGACATCATCCTGAGTGACCACCGGGTCCTACCCTGGCAGCGGGAGCAGTGACAGGGAAGATCTTTGGAGGAGGTGGCAGGACACCTGGGGCAGCTCCGGGGGGACCCTGAGGGCTGCGTGCCATTGGGCCCTGCTGTGGACACTTGGAAACAAGGGACTCTGTCCCCACCTTGCCCAGGACAGGGGTATCAGGGCAGGAGATCGGCCACCTCCAGCTTGAAACCTAAACCCAGGCAGGAACAGGGTGGAGGGTTTGGGGAAGAACACAAGACACAGCATCAGTCCCAGGGAACTGAGCTCAGAGGCAGCCCTTGGGGACCCTGTGACCTATATAAAGAACACTCAGCAGCCAGCTCAGCACTCGGACCTCTCAGGAGCTCAAGCACAGGGGATCTCTGCTCAGATGGGTGGGGAGACTAGACTTGAAGGGTCTTCTCTGGCTAAGGAGGAGGCCAGCCGAATGAATCTTTCTAGGCTATAAGCATGGTTCTGTGGGAGAAATGAAGGCCATCTGGCATGGAAGTCAGTCCTTCTACAGAAGGACTCAGGTGTCTGTGCCTTAAGTGAACGGAGGTGGCCACTAGGAATTTGGGGTACACAACACATAAATGGAAATCATTGTTCTTTTGGGTTTCCACTAGATTTAGGGCAGTTACTCTTTTTCTGACTAAGGAATTACCCCCAGAGAGCCTATAAGGGCCTCCTGTGAGCTGGGTGATGGAACCATCCTGCAGGGTAAGGCTGCTGAGCTCTCTTGGGGTTACTTGGGGGGACTTAAGTTACTCTAATTGCACATAGCTCCGTTTAGTCTCCCATCACCTTCCTTCCCACCCAGAGCTGGTGGTTTCTACTGACAACCCCCTCGCCCCAGGTGCCACCTTGGCAGTCTGCACTTTAGCCAAACTTGGCAGCACCACCGGTCCACGAAAGTGGTTCCAGCTAAACACAAGTGGGAAACTGACGGCTGGAGGATGGTGCAGAGCCAGCCAATCACCGCATCAATTGTCAGAACATAAATCATGATTTAAATCGCTCTTGTTTTACCCAGAAAACTGTGGGCAGGTTTATCCTCCACCACGCGGATCCTCCGAGCTCCAGCAGGAATGACAGCAGCTTCGATGTAACCTGTAGGAACAGACACCATCCAATGAAGTTCATCTCCACCCGCCCTCAGAGGCCCAGTTGGCACCTCCACCAAAACTCACCATCCCACACCCGCCATGGTAGCATCAAGCCCATGGGGGTTGCAGAAATTGAACTAACGAGGCGCATTCTCTCTGGCTGACAAGAACCAGCTGCCCAAAATCCAGAAAGCGTCATTGACATGTGCCATGAACTGCTGCCCCATAATCAATACATTGAGGTCCTCACCCCTAATACCCCACAGTGTGGCCCTATTTGGAAATAGGGCCTTTGCAGATGTAATTGGTTAAGAGGCGGTCATACTGGAGCAGGGTGGGCGCCTGATCCAATATTGGGTGGTCTTTAAAAAAGGGGAACTTCGGAGACAGACATGCAGATAGGGAGAGCTGCATGTAGACAAGAAGCAGAGATGGGATGATGTGTCTATAAGCAGAGGAGCAAAGATTCCAGCCAGCCACCAGGAGCCCAGAGAGTGGCCTGGGATGGGTCCTCCCTCCACCCTCAGAGACTTCTCCCTTCAGGGATGTGTAGCAAGTAGGGTCTGAGTATGTGATTACAGTAGCCTCAGTGGATGAAGGCAGCCTGGAATTTTATCTGCACAGCACATCCCTGGCCCCATTCACCTATGGGAGCTCACTTCACTGTCTGTCTCCCTTCACTCCCTTCACAGACGACGGCAGAAGTTGGGTAACTTGCCCTATGACAAAAGACAAAACCACTGCCAGCACACACTGCACTATTTCCTGCTTCCATGGCTCCGTGGGCATTTTTGCAATGATCACAGGGAATACTTCTGTCCATTTCCTTGTGGATTTCTAAGGACATTGGTCTCAGAGACTGGCACGGTCCCTGTCCATACCCTGACACTGCACCGGACCTAGGATAGCAGGTGGTTCGTGGACATCCTGGGGGGAATGCCTGGGCGGCCAGAGCAGAAGTCAGCCAGGGGCTGATGTTGGTTATGTGGGTTACTGTGTCAACAACTGAGCCAACATTGCGATGAATTTCTGAAATGTGGGCTGGCGATTTTTTTGTTTTCCCACTTGGGTATTAAGTAAGATTAATGCATGCTTGTGACTTAGATGATGCTTTCTAAAATTAGATTATGAATCCTACCCCCCGTGGCTTCCAGATAAGACCATCAGGATCAGCAGAGGACCTTTAAAAATTAGAGATTTCTGGGCCCAGTGCTGTTGAGGTTATGAAAATACCTATTTTGAGGGGCTTACTCATTTGTCTCACAGTAAAAATGACAATTTTTATTATCAATAAAGAATAATTCAAAAGCATAAAGGAGAAACTAAAATCAATATACTTCATTGCACAAGAAAATTAACTGTGAGACAGTGATATTGTAACCGAGTAATCGGCCTTTTCAGCAGCTCATTACGCAGCATATAAACACACATCATGCTCTTAAAAGATCAGGGACAACTTTTAAAAAGAGTCTTGCTAGATCATATATGTCCAAGGTACAAAATTCAAAAGTTATAAAAGTATACAGTAGAGAGCATATTGATGCTAATAAGATAATCCTATAGCTAGCCAGCTAACACTCATTCTTTATAATTTGGGTATTTTGTGTGGGTCTCCATGCAGTGAACTGAAGTATTTGTCAATACAATGCCTTTGTTTCTTCCTTTCTACTTTATGCTTCCAACTTCTTCTCCTTTCACCATTGTGGTTAGAACTTGCAAAACCACATTGTATGCAACATGAGATTGTAGGGTCCTTGGCTTATTCAAGATGGCTGATTTACAGGAAAGTTTCCAGTGTTTTCCCATCACAAATGATGCCACTGTATGAAGGTGCCAGAGAGTTACCGGGCAGAAGAAGTTCACTTTACACTAGTTTTTAAGAGCTTCTCTTATGAAGACATATTGAAGTTAATCAAATATATTTTGGCATCTATGGGGATAGATTCCTCATAGGGTTTCTCTCTCAAACAACACAAGGACCTTGGAGGAGTTGAACTGTAATCACACCCAGCGAGGTGTGTGGTCAGGATCATAACTTTGTCCTTCCTTCAACATTTGAGCTCACTGTTATTTCTTTTTTCATCCTGACATTTTCCTGTAAATCTTTGATGACAGTTATGTTTCTCAGGTATAAGTGAAATATTTTAATCCCTGGATATTGAGAGATGAATAAATCTGCATAGTTACCCTGCTCTCCACTTATTACAGCCCACTTATTAAAGCCCTCAGCTTTTCTGTGTCTTTCTATATTTGTTAGCTTTTAACATTGACTTTTTGTTCCTTAAGCTATTTCAGTTGTTTTAGTGCCCAAAATTACCATTCATTTTTTTGTCCTTTTAACAGTTTCTTCAATAAATTTTTATTTGTTTCAAATTAGTTCTTTTTGAGATATGCTTATGGAAATTATATTCCCTGAACTATAGTACAAAGTTATTGTTCATCTTCTACATGAATTCAAGGGGGGGGGGCGGAGATGAGATTCTTTGGCCTCCCTTTTGAGATGTTGTTTGAGTTCTTCCATTGACTATCAGTGTGGGGCAGACTGGGCCAATTTGGAGCTTTCCTTTTATTAGATTACCTAAAATTGAGATGAGATGCTTAAACAATCCTTACGTTGAAGATCTAATAATTACTAGACTAGTTACACTTTTGCATAAATTGTTCCTGGGACATAAGAAGATGTGTGTGTGTATATGTATATATATATATGCATATATACATTATTTCACTTAATTTTTTTGATCTATCTGTACACTTTTCTTTTTCCAGGACATCAAATTATGTTTGATCTCCTTTCTTTTTTAAAAAAAGATTTATATTTATTTATTTATTTATGCATACAAGAACTGGGGTGTAGGTCAGAGATGTGGGGGGTGAGAAGATTCACCCGAGACAGAGTGGGGGACAGATCAGGCAGATCCACTAAAATACACTGCTGGGGGGGCAGTTGGGCAAGACAGGAGAGGTCTGCTGTGCCCTGTGGGTCAGTTCCCTGGCCAGGGAATCGAACTCATGCCTCAGTGGCTGGTGATAGCTTGATAGCACTGAGACTTTTTTTTGGTAGTATCTCAGTATTTATTTATTTATTTATTTATTTATTTATTTATTTTTATTTAAATTTTATTTTTATATTCCCCATACAATTACAACCCCCTTATTTTGACCAGGAAAAAGAGAAACTATAAGAAAGAAAATATCAAAATCAACAAACAACTATGAACCAGAGACACTCTATGGGGGGTGGGGGGCGGGGACAGGAGTGATAGCACTGAGACTTTAACCCCTACACCACCAGGGAAGCCCCTGATCTCCTTTCTTCACTTTTCTCTAATCCTTTGAGTTTTTATTTCCATTGTGTTTCCACCTAAGAAGTTCCTGTTCTCCCTGATCTTTTAGCATGTTCTTTTGCATTAATTATCAGGTGATCTTGATAGGATGAGTAAGTAGATAAGCACTTGTGCCCATCGGCCACATTGGCCAGGAAGTTCAGCAGGATCCTCCAGTCTTGGTAACAAATGCTTTGGCATTGTTACAACAACTCCAGCCTCTACAATAGCTCCAGCCTCAGACATTCACAAATTAATGTTTCTTGACGCTTAGGGAGACTCCGCAGACATAAACACACTTGGAGCAGCAGTTGCTGCTTCTGGCAACCCCTCCTCATCGTGATTCCCAGGCAGAATGACATTAGCTGGGGGTTGGGGGACCCTCCCCCAATCCCGCAGCATCATCTCCTCCATTGCTTCTGTCAGTAAAACAGTGACACCAACTTACCCCAGCTGCCAGCACACAGCCCCTGCACTGCCCAGTCCTTATAGGGTAAGGCAAGGCTTTTTTGATTAAAATAGTTTTTACTTTAGGAATGCTTCCCTACTTAATATGTCTGGCCCTTAAAAAATAAAACCAAACAAAAAACCAAAAAACATCTTTTAGGATTATAGCACTGGATCTTCTCACAAATTTCTCTGCGAGACAGCCAAGCCTTATGGGGGAGTTGAAGAATGATTGCATTCTAGGCTTAGAAAATAGCAAATGTCAAAAATGGAGACAAAAGTTGTTCAGAGTCAATGTAATTAAGACCTTTTTCAGAGGCATCTCCAGGAAAACCACAAAACCTGGAAATAGACTGTGCTGGGGGAGATAACTCACTTCCTGATACAGAAGCTACTCTTAGAAGGATCTTCCTATCTGGTGACAGACAAACCTTGGTGTTTGCATCACCAGGCTGCAGAGTCTGAGGCAACAGACTCACCCAGTGAGACCCAGGAGTTAATTTTCTATATCCCACAGCAAGGAGCTTTGCAACCAAGCATGACCACCATGCTTCCTTTCAAGCTGGACTTAGGACAGTACTGACCAGGCACCTGTTTTCCCTTCCTTCTCATGTACCCGCTCATGTGGAGGCCAGAGGCTGATGTGCAGTGAAAAGGCCAGGGCAGACCTGCAATGCAGGTGAGGCTCGCCCTCAGGTGGCCTCTGAGGAACCCTCAAGTGAGTCATGGCCCTTTCCTTCCAAGATGAGCTTGTCGGCTCATGGTCGAGGCAAAGTCCCTTCCATGACGGCCTGGTCCACACATGCCAGAGCCACCCCCTGAACCTCATGGTGCTCCTCCTGATGGCCCCAGTCTGACCCAGAGCCCGAAGTCTCCCCAAGGTTGGCATGAAGAGTGACCAGCAAGGAAAAGTGTTCCATCACCAAGTCCCAAAGCACCTCACAGTCCCCAGGGCTGGAGTCTTGCCCCACAGATGTCAGACACCACAGTGGAAGGGACAGAAGAAAAGGGAGATTGCTTCTAAGAAGTCACAAGACAGAGTCACATTTTGGGTGAGGTAGCAAGACTTGGGAATAATTTCCCATCGTCTCTGCCATCAAACAGGAGAAATCTAGTCCAAGGGACACAGTTTGGTTTGATGAGGAAGCCATGGACAAGACTCAATGCCATTGCCACCATCCTGGGAGAACAGGGCACTTCTGCCTTAAGGACAAGTCTTGGAAGGGGCTTCAAACCAGGGTTGCCCTGAAACCATCTCAAGTCTCCTAATGGGCAATACTACTGGGCTATAACACATTTCCCTGTGGAAGAATTTTTGTCTGAATGTCCCAAAAATTTTAGATGATTTGGGGTTCACATTTTTTCCCTTTGTTTTCATTAGTATTGACTTTCTTTGGAAGAAACCTGTGCTGCTGGCGAGGTACCAGGAGGGAAATACAGGTGATCCCCGGGCTATGTGGACTCAGGCACTCACATGAGACTCCACCAAATAGATATTTAAAAAAAAAATCAAAGTTCTCTGTTCTATAATTAACTCATAAAATGTTTGCAGTGGCTCTTGTGTGAGAAGTTTATAGTTTCTTTTTATAGCTGTTTATGAGGATATTACTGTCTTCATGTTTCTCTCCTGAGACTTCTCTGGGTCTAATTGAAAAGAACTTCCACGGGCAGGGAAGCATGCGAGTGTAGACTAGGGTGCGTTTTTCACCCCCAGAATGTGAGTCAGCACAGATGGGCTGAAGCACAGCCATGACCTCTGTCTCCAGCATGAAGACCAGGAACCCAACCCTGTCACATGGAAATGTCCCTATGGAAGAAAAAGCTACCTGAGGCTAAATTCTCTGTCCAGTCAGCATTTTCTGTGAAAGCACCAGGCAGGTGTGGCTGAGAACAAAGACACAGCCATGGCCTCTGAGGGGATGTGCTGTCTGGTCACTTGGACCCACCACTCTTTTATAGCACTCAAAATTGTTTTCGTTTGATAGTTTTTCTTTTTGGCAGTTGGTCTTACAGTCTATCCCGCGTAAGGGAGGCGAGGCCTTTGCCTGTATCCATGGCTTCACAGATGACTCAGTCCCACAGACTACTCAGACACGTTCAGGTGCACAAGGCAGGCAGGACCCCACACCAGGCCCGTCACCGCTGGGACCGCAAAGAATGTCCGAACATCTTACATGAGAAACACTTGGGAACAGCCTTTGCCATCACACAGGTGGACACCTTTGTGCAAAGGTTATTCTTGACTGAGAAAAAGAAATACATCATAAATTGGTTTACATGCAAGCTTCAGAAACTATTACTGTTATTCTTAATCACAGTGGAGAAAAGCTTCATTACAGTCTTCACATGAAGGGAAACTTCCCCCACGGAAGCACGGAACTTGGAGCCTAGAGCTCAGCAGGTGGCTGGGTTCTGAAGGTGATTACTGAATAAATACGAGACATGAGGCTCTGCCCACATTCTAAAGGCACGGACAATGTCACCCTCCCTTTTAACAATCTATTGCTTGAGAAGGTTCCTTTCATGAGCAAAGGGACTCAGAGCCCTAGGGCACTGTGGTTGGTTCTCAGTGGGGACATCAGTCCAGTGGTGTCCTGATGTCACCAGGCACCTTTCTGGGGCTGAGAGTCAGTATGGGATAAAGATAATATTAAATTGACAATTCAGTGAATGAAGTGAAGCATCACACCAGGAACTTTCAAATCACTAATTTAAAAAATCTCAGCTGTTTCAACTCAGCCCAGGACTTGAGCACTTCCAAACCCATCCTGAGGAAAGCAGCATGGCGGCCAACATGATTGTATTCCTCCTGGTGCTGGTGGTGGGGGGGTTGTTGAGGATTCACTTGTTTAAAGCCAGAGGCAAGAGGCTGAGGGGGTTAAACCACCCACACCAGGAATGCCACCTGCTGCTGGGGCCACTCAGGGCACTCAGGGGAACATCTGAGGGCCTCTTCCTGGGGGGCTGTTCTAGGTTCTCAGCTGGAGTACTTTAGGAGAAAGACCCAGAAGAGTTCAGGCAGGGGTCACGTAACTGGGCAAAATTCCTGCATTTGCTTCTTTATCTTTCTTTTTTTTTTTTTTAATCTTTCTGTATGGTGTTTCTCTTTGATGCACACCCTTAGGATGATAAGACAGGCCTCCTTCCCCCAGTTTTGCAGCTGGGCAGAGATGAAAGAAAGTTATCTTCCTATCAAAACTGACAGGGTCAGCGAGTCCCTCAGCCACACGGGGAGTTGCTGAGATTTGTATGAGTGGGGCCTCTACACCTTTTCTATGTTGCGGTTTTCTTCAGCCTGAAATGTCCTTCCCCTACCCACACTGTCAGTCACCTACTTGTCCCGCAGGCCTGGGTCAGGGGTCCCACGAGAACAAAGGGCCCCCACAGCAGCCCCTGCTGAACCGCCTCTGCCTGACAGGTGGATTGAACTATCTGAGCTACCTGCCTGGGGACTCCCTCCCTCCACTATGAACCACCTAGTAATGGTGGCCCCCTCTTCTGCATACCTCGTGCCTAGGGTGCAGTCATGTGGACTGAATGTCTGGTGGATGAATGGACTCGCAGGTGATCTAGGCTGGTGTCTCTGCAAATGTACATTCCAGGATGTCAGCCCACAAATGCAGGGTTGTGTTTATTCAACCTGCACTAAAGAGTGATTTATTCATGTGCAAATGAGTGTTCTGCTCGCATCTTAAAAACACGCAATCAACGTTGGTTTGAGCTTATGCTCACGGACCCCAATCATGAGGATCTGAAAAAACCCAGTTTTAGACTTTAAAATGAAGGTGTGACATCTGGCTGCCACTTAGAATGATGGAGCTTTCACAGGTGGGTGAAGCTAAAGTGGGTTTCTCTCACTCTGGAGGTTTGCTAAGGTGTTTGGGCCCCGACAGCTGGACGGAAGCCAGGGTGGGGACAGCCACCCCAGGAGTGTCTTAATGGTTGCCTGTCTTCCTAATGGAAGACATAAGCCATCTGTCCACGGCTTTTGTAGCCACAGAGACCTGATCTCTCCAGAAGAAAGGCAGCACATTCCCAGCTGCCTCCTCCTGTGCATGTATATGGTGTAGGGGTGGGGGGGAGGGGCGGCAGGAGGGCAGGTGAGCCCAGGAGACAAAGACAGTACTGTGAAGGCGGGATGCATCTGCCCATGCCCAGACCACAGGCCAGCAAAGGGATCAGACTATGGAAAAAGAGAAGACACTTTTGCCTGTGATCTGGGTTCTCTCGGAAGCTTTCAAAGGCATGTAGTGGAAGCTTCCTTAGTGTGCCCCACAACTGCCCAGGTGGGCATGGCTTGCAACACCTGCCTGCCACAGAAAGGAGCCATCGTCCTCCGCTGTTTATGGGCACTCAGCCTGCATTCAATTGAAATAAAGGGTTCAAATGCCTTTACTGTTTTATGTCAACAGTAAGTGGTTGCCTACTGCAGAGGTTTTGTTCCTAAGTGCTCTTGCGGGCACAGCTGCAGAAAGCAAGGTCAGCGCCTCAAGGCAACAGGAGCTGGGGCTCAAAAATAGAGAAAATGGTGACAGATATGTCACAGCAAATTGCAAAAATGAACAAAGTTCCAGAACAGTGTTGTCTAAGAGAACTTTCTGCAATAATGCGTGTCTTCTCTCTGTGCTGTCCAACATGGGAGCTGACTTTTAAATTTGTTGAATTTTAATGAATTATAATTAACATTTGAACAGACTAAGTGGCTGATGGCTGATGCACCAGATGGTATAGCTCCCATATCCCCTCCTTCTGTTGACCTCAGGAGCCCCCTGTTTCGCAGACAGGACACCTGTCTTTAAAATCCTGAAACCAGTCCTTACTGCACCTGAAAAATAATTTCTAAATTTAATTTTGCACTTGGTTTTGTTTTCACAAGCTCATGCAAAACGTTTTTGAAGAGCCTTTAGTGCCAAAAGGTATCTAAAGGGGACCAGGTCTTCCATCCACACAGAAAAAAGGGGGAGCAGGCACAGATTTTCTTCTCCATCTTCTCTCCAAGGTGATTCTGTGCCCTTGCAGAGTGGAAGTGAGCTACAATGCTTCTATGCAAAGCAATTGTGGAAATTACAATAGAAGCTTTTCAGCTTGTTGCACCCAAGTTCTCTTGGTGATGCTGGGTAAGCGGACACTCACTAAGGCTCAGGAAGGTCCACCATCCCGATTATTTCATGCCTGGTGTTCTTCTCTATTAAATGACCACTCAGCTACTCTCCTGGACATCATGAGGTGGGTCCTGCAGGACAGGAGATCACAGGCCACCCCCCACCTCCCGGGAAAGCTGTGAAGATGACTCCCGCAGAGAGATTGGAAGCACCGAGAGGACAGCTCACGCTCTGAGCACAGTGCTGGCAGTGTGTGCATCTGGGGTACAGGACGCTGGGTCGCCCTGCTGTCATGTCAGCAAAGGCATCTCAGCCTTCCCTGAATGGGCTTTGTGTGCAGTTAGGGGCGAGTCTGAAAGCTCTCCCACTTTTATTCATGGAAAACTCACAAAGAGAAAAGCTAGTTCCTCTCCAGGTAAAAAGGATTTGGCCAAGTATCTTTGCCACCTCTCTCCTGTCTGATCTTAATGGATTATAACTACAATTTGAACAGGTTGGGGGGCTGGCATGAAGCCCAGGGCAGTGATTCACTGGCCTGGGGGCTGCACCACTGAGCACTTAACTCCTTTCTAGGAACTCAAAGAACCTTTGGCTCCAATGTCTTCCCTTGCCTTTCAGAAACCATAAAACACCAAGTGTCAGGTCGCCCATCCATCGTCACAATCACACAGCTCTTCTCTGTGAAGTGCAGGGAAGGCACATACTCACTGACTTCCATGCAAAGAAATAAAACACTCAGCGCACGTTGACTGCCCCGGAGCTGTGCAGCTTGGGCCTCACACTCACCTGTCCCTCGAGAGTGGCTGAAGTCGCCCTTCACCACGCGGCAGGTCCGGCCGTCCCCACTGCAGACCCCGCACCGGTCTTCTTTGGCTGCAGACCCGATGATGCCATCACAGCCGATTTTCTAAACAACCAGAGAGCTGGGTTATTCTGTGTTTAAGCTGGGGATCTTGGGGGGCTTTAAATAGGCTGCCAGCAGGGCTGACTTCTGCAGCAGCCCAGCGCCTGGGATCCACAGTGCTCTCTGGGGCCATGAATAGAAAGAATCAGCCAATTTATCTTTTTTTTTTTCTAAAGATTTATTTATTTATGCAAACGAGAACTGGGGTATAGGCCACAGGTGTGGGGGGTGAGAGGGTTCACCAGAGACAGAGTGGGATAACAGAACAGGCAGATTGACTGAAAAACACTGCTGAGGGGAGCAGCGGGCGAGTCAGGAGAGGTCTGCTGTACCATGTGGGTAGCTCCTTGGTGGGGATCGAACTCGTGCTGCAGTGGCAGCAGACAGCTTCATAGGTTGCGTCTTAACCCCCTGCGCCACCAGGGAGGCCCCAATTTATCTTTATGTACATACTCATTTTTTAGTATTTCTTACAGAGGAGGGGCCCACGGACATCACTTGGTGACCTGAAGCCCTGGTCTCGCCCCAGGGCCACCTGAGGCAAAAGCCAGAGATGGGGGTGTGAAGCTGGTTCCCACACCCCATCCTGCACCCCAACTCAGGTGTGATCATGCGTTTTTCTGGGAGCTGGGTGGGTGACCTTACTGTGGATGGAACAGGCAAGGCTCAGCAGATATGGCAGAAGCCACACTGACTTCTGCTGAGGTGGGGATGAGCCAACAGCTCATTCAGACCAACAGTCCTAAAATACAGGTGATATGCACACACTTGACTGACAGTAAGGCTATGGCCAGCACTGATTTAGATCTCCCAGGAGCCAGCATTTGAGCAGATGCAGTGTTTGGAGTTGATGTTCTTCTTTTTAGGGACAAAGTCAAGGGCAGTCAGGAGCCCAGAAAGGCTCTGATGTCTGTGGGGCTGTGGTGCAGCTGCTGTGTGACAGCCAAGCACGCCTGGCCCGCAGGGAGCTGCTCTGGCCTCTTCCCCGGGGTGTCTATAGGCATGTCCAGCAGGGTCCATCTCATCAGCATCTGCCTCTCTCAGAAGGCTCAACAGAGCATCTGATGTACACAGGCCTGGCATCCAGACCTGGGGTACCAGTTGGTGCTTTCTGAAACGCAAGCCAGCTGGTTATTATTATATTATTATTTTTTGCGGCAGTGATTGGGTCTTAGGGAAAAACTAGTCCCCCAAGATGGTAAAGACACTCAGTTAGGTCTTTTCAGATTCTCCTTGCTGTGCTCCCTGGAGGAAACAATCCCCCAGGTCTGGCCAGTGTGGTCAAGCCCCAGGGCCCAGGGGCCCAAGCTCATTGGGTCAGCTGTCTCCAAACCCCAATATCCTCCACAATCACCTGGGGGACTTGAAAGTCACCCACTGCTGGGATGGGGCCCCATGATTTGTGTTTCTAATGATGCTGTGGGCTCAGGACACATTGAGAAACCACGGATGGGGGTTAGTCCCTGTCAGTCCCGGGGGGTGGGTGAGGGGGGAGTCCCTCTCGTAGCTCTCCTGTGAATGGAGCACCCACTGGGGCGGTGACTCCTGTTGCTCCCATGTCACCGCTGAGCCAGAACAGTTCTAGGCTCAAGTATCCTGGAGGGACATGGGGCACCCGGCAGAGCTGCCAGGATAGCAGCCTCTGGCCCCCCTACACCCTCACAGTCACCTAAGTGATTTCCTGGGTTGCCTGCAGGCCCTGCCAGCCAGTTCTCTGTAACTGAGAGCACGTCTATCCCTCCATGGCCTTGGCCTGGAGGACTTGCCTCTACATCCCAGCCAGGCTGGCCCTTCCTCAAGCGCCATCTCCTTGGAGAGAACTGCCACACCATTCACAGCCCCCACTCAGTCCACGGCATGATTTCCTGTGCATGTGCCAGCCCCCAGGATGATGAATGGTGTTTATGTGGGCTCCGTCTGTATGTGGGATGAGGACAGAGACCCTCTTGATTATGCGCGCATTCTAGTGGCCATCCCGTGGAATGCCTTCAACATAAATATTTGATGAATGAGCAAATCAAATTCCAGCCTATGCACTTTCTGCTGGGAGCTCTCCCTGGCTCGCATCCAGGCCTTCACCACAGTTGTTCTGTTCACACGCGTCTGTCTCTTCTTCCCAACAGAACGTGAGCGCACGGAGGATGGCATCTGAGAATTCTTTGTACCCGGTCTTCACCCCATGCACACAGTGGCCAGCGTGGTAGGGAGCACATAACGCTCATTCCATAGATGCCCAAGAAGGATGACCTCCTATTAAGCTGGGCCGTGGCAAAACTGGCTTTCTGATATAGTCCTCTTGACTCTCTTCTCTGTCCCAAGATGGACAGCAAGCCCTCTCAACGTGCTGCAATTTATTTCTCTTGTATTTGAATAGGGACTTTGGAGATTTGGAGGGTCCTTTCTTTCTTTCTTTTTTTTTAATAAAGATTTATTTATTTATTTATACAAGCACTGGGTACAGTCAGAAGTGCGGGAGGGTGGGCGAATTCACCAGAGAAAGAGCGGGGAACAGAACAGGCAGACTAACGAAATACACCGCTGAGGGGAGCAGCGGGCGAGGCAGGAGAGGTCTGTCATGCCATGCGGGACCCTCACCGGTGTCTGGGGATCGAACTGGCGCTGCAGAGGTTGCAGGAAGCTTTGCAACCCAGCACTCAACCGCTGCGCCACCAGGGGAGGCCCCAGGGTCCTTTCTTTAAATGCAATTTTCATTGACTTACCATTGGTTTATAGTACCCTCTGCTTCAGGGTCACACCTTGCTATCTGTTTATACCACACTGCCCCTACCAGCAAGGTTTCAGTGCCATTCACGATATCAAATGTTCTCTCTCCATTCTTCTCACACCCTCCTACCCTCCCTACTGGTCTTCACTATATTTTTCTGAGTCTAAGAGTTATTTTTTTGTACTTTGTTAGTTTGTCAATTTATATCCCATCTGAGTGAAACCCTTCAGTATTTGTTTTTCATTTTCTGACTTACTTCATTTAGCATTATCACCACGAGTTCTATCCATGTTGTCTCGAAAGACAAGTTCTCGCCTTTTTTATGGCTGAGTAGTACTCCACCAAGTATATATGGATCTTCTAGGGTGGTTTCCATGTTTAGCTAGTGTGAACAGTGCTTCTAGAAGCATATGTCTTTTTGAATTCGTGTTTTCATATTCTTCAGATAAATACCTAGAAGTGGAGTTGCTGGATCATATGGTATTTCTATTCTTAATAAATCTCCAAAGATGATCCTTGTTTTTTCACTCCTGTCTAGCTGGGAGGTGCAGCTCTTACCTCAACTTCATAGCCACTTTCCAACTATGGCCTCATTCTTTCTTCTGTTGAGGATGCCGCTGACGTCTTGTTTAAATTCGACTGGATTTTTTCCAGGCCAGCAGCACAGCCCTCACCCTACATTTCCTGGGCCCCTGGGTGAGTTCCACTAATTCCTGCAGAACACATCTTCCTCTTTCTTCACCTATCCCTGTTTTACCAAATGACCCATACTTCCTTCAGAATAGCTGCATGGAAAATAAAATTTCTGAATTCTTCCATTTCTCAAAATGACTTAATTGTGCCTGCCTGGTTGGTTGCTCATTTGGCTGCATACAGAATTCTGTAATTATCTCAATTTTCTGCCATGCTCAGTCTTTCTCATTCCTGCTGTTGGTTGGTTTTAAATACCTAATGATTTCTGGTTGACTATTCGAATTTGAGAACGGAGCACAGAAAGGTGGACTGAGAACTCTACCTTCGGTTGGTAAGGTGCCAAGGAGGCTTCTCTTGGAGGCTGGCAGAAGGGAAGCTGGAGTCTGTCCCCAAAGGGTGAGTGCTGTGCACAAGCCCTGAGGTCACCATGACCCAGCTGTCCTTGAACAGTTTAATCACAGGACCTTGGAAACACCCCCTGCTGTTCTGCCTGCATGCAATGACCTCAAAGCCCATCAGGCTCCACTTGCAGGGTTGGGCCTGGTTAGACAGATTGTAGGAGCCTTTGACTTATCTCTTTGTTTTCAGCCAACACCTCACTTCCACCCTCTATTCCCAAGTCCTAGATATCTTCCTGCATTCTGCTTTTTTAAAAATTGAAGTTATATCACTTCATTACATTATGTAAGTTGCAGATATTATTGTTGAGAATTAATATGTGTATATGCTACATTCAGTTACTCATTAAAAGTCCAAATCTATCCTCCACCATACCATTGTCACCTTTGGCCCAACGTATCCATCCTCTACCCCCTTCCCTTCTAGTAACCACTAACTGGTCTTAAAGACTAAAGTTTACTTTTGTTTCATTTAATTCATCTGTTTATTTTCTCCATATATCATATAACTGAAATCATGTGGTGCTTGTCTTTGGCTTATTTCACTAAGTAGAATTTCCTGTAGATACATCAGGCATGATGCAAATGGCAGGATGTCATCTTTTTTGTAGCTAAATAGTATTCCACTGTATAGAAAGACCACATCTTCTTTTTCCATTTGCCAACTGATGGGCTGTTTTCAGTTCTAGGCTACTGTAAATAGTGCTGCAAGAACATGGTGACCTATCTCCTTAGTGTTTCTGTGGTTTTGATTATGACTCCTGTGTGTTCTAGTTCTGACCCCTGCTGCTTTGTTCCCCTGATGACACTTCCCCCATTTCCGTCCACCAGAAAGAGGGGACATCTTTCTTTTGTCAGTTTTTTCACTGCATGGTTTGCACTCTGCTGCCTATACCTTTGGTTTAGCAGGGCCTGGGATGGAAGAGGAGCAAATATGGGGCCCAGTGAGTTGGTTTAATCCAGAAATTGCTATGGGAAGTCAACCAGATAAGAGGGGCACAGGGAAAGGCTCCAGAGTTTTAAGCTCTGTCATCAATAAGACTTGGCACCACAAGTCCCCATATTTCAGAGATGTCTGCAGCAGGGTCATAGCATGGGAGAAGCAGCAGCAGAAGAGGCATTGTTGAAACACAGGCCAAGTTTAGTCCTGGTACATTTTTCTGCACTTGTCACCTGTCCTAATCTGGGGGCTCTGAGGCTAGCTCCCAAACCTTCTAATATTCATAGTTATTCTACTGCCTAGTAGACTTTTGCACACAAAATGGAGGCCAACAAATTTGGGTCAGTGAAAATGGTCCATTAAAATGGGCTCCAGATTCCAGAATCACTGAAGTCCCAAGAGCAGGTGATCTAGCATTTTATGACATTCACAAGTACCCAACCTCTCATTCCATCCATTCTTTTCAACATGCAGTCCAAGATTCCCCTCTGAGCCAGCCCTGAGGGAACACAATCAGACATAATCCTTCCACTGCAGAGACCACAGGCCCTGAAAGTATCTTGTTTTCAGGTTCAGCAAACCCAAGACATATACACAAGTGAGGGTCCCAAGGCAGTGTCATCCCAATCAGAGCATGTTGGCTACATATGTGCAGAAGCTACCATAGCCTTAAAGAATCCAAGCTTGTCTGGTCTTGGGTAAGTTCAGATCTGGCCATCCGTGTGACTCACCCACTGAAAGCCAGTAGCCGCTGCATACGAGCAGCACATTAACTTGCTTTCTTTGCTTCTGGAGGCCAAGAGTCAGAATCATGAATGATGGGACTCCTGATTTATAGGGACTTGCTGAAAAATAGACAATGTTTGCATTTCTTCCCCCAACTCATTCCCACTTTTATGAGTGCTGTTAAGTTTCATTTCAGCATGTTAAGTAATTTGTGACTCACTGAAATAAAACTTAACTCAGTCCTCATAAAAGCGGAATAAAATGGTATTTCCATGTTTCATGTTATGGTTTGAATCAGCCTGCTATTTGCAGCTCCGTGAAATCTACTCAAAATTCCATTTTGGAGCCTCTTGTCCCCTCCATTCCCTACCGACTAGTCACTACCTTTCTCAAAATTTCCCCAAACTCCTTATAGTAACCCCAAATAGCAAAAGTTATAGCTAAAGGGAACAGAGGGAAAAGCTTGTATGTAAGCCATGGGGATATTTCTAAAGTACCATCTTATATAAAATATGGATGGTTTCTACCTTTTTTCTACTAGAATTAGATAATTATATCAGTGTATAGGTACAGCTCCTCAGGTCACTAAATGCCTGTTTTTTTTTTTTAATTATTATTACTATTACTAATCTTCTCTTTAACCAACTTTCCTTGTTTGACCCATTCACAAGTATCACAGGAATCCAGAATATTCCATCTTGACAATTACTGTGACTAGTATAAATACTAAATTTGTCTTTATTTTCTTAAAATCTTATTAGGTATGGTCAATTATAATAATAAAACTCCATTAGTTATAACTTTACTAAATTGGGTTTTTTTGAGAATTAAAATGGTCTAAAGTTAATCATTATAGTTTCTTTCTGAAGAAAGAGTCTGTTGGAAACATTGCAGATGGTATTTTTTAAACTTCCTTCAAGTTACTTCTTATGGTTTTAATCTTGTGAGGTGCTTGCAGGTAGATGCTGCCCCCAACTATCAGGATGGTGCTCCTTCTGCCAGGACTGGTGGGCTGCCTGGAGGCAGCAGCTCCCTGGGGCATATTCACACAGATGAGCAAGATGGCCTGTGCAAGCTCTTATTTAGGAAGGAAAGAACCTGCCCTTGGCTTGCACACAAGCTTGCTGAGAACCATCAGCAATTTCTCCATTTCAGTAATAACCATCTGTGCTTTGTTTACACTTCCTGGACAGTTCTCTGTCTGGACATTCTTTGCTACGGCGTGGTAGCCCTGAGGGTCCAGTTCAACCACCCACCACCACCTCCTTTCTGGGACAATGCCTTGCTGAGATCTGCGGGTACCAAGCATCCATCACCCACACAGATCTGTATTTGACGACAAAGCCAGGCAGGGTCAAAGGAGTCCAGAAATTGTATGCTGCTCCCTGAAAAGTATGGTGAGCGGTTGAGACTTTGCAGGGAAAAAAATTCACGAGGGTTGAAAGGGTTGGCTGCTGGGGCTCCTGGAAGTTGTTTCTGTGTTTGTGTCTTTCTTTTTCCTTTGACTCGTGGCTGCCTGTGCCCTAGGCCAGGCTTCTGTAGACCACGAAGGTGTCCCACCTCCTGGGCGAGTGGCTCAAGGCTTGGAGGCAGGTTTCTGGTGCCATCACAGCTAAGGGGGATGACATTTCTCTCTCCCAGGACCCTTAGGATTTATATTTTTCCAATATTTTTGGCTATTTACCTGGAACTGATAATCAGAGAGGATGTCAATTTTAGGAGGAATGAAGCATCTATAGTCACAGCTCCAAGCCCCCGGTTTCTCTCCTAGTAAAACCAGAAGTCCCCTCAGTGGCTCGTGGCAAAGGGACACCTTTGCTCAGTCCTCACAGTTATGAGTCAGTGGAGGTGAAACAAGGAAAAGTGAAAATTTGGAGTAGAGGCCTGGTTTTCCTTCTTAAGCCACATACACATGAGCCTAATGTCCCCCCCCCCCCCGCTTGCTCAGGCTCTGGCAGCTGTGGTCAACACTTGGTGGACTCACTGCATTTGGTGGACTCACTGCCCAGGACACAGGCATTGGGCTGGGGCTGGGGTGTCCCCAGGCTCTCTCACAACAGGTGCAGACTGAACTGGGTCATCAATATAGCCTATGTGGAATAATTGAGGGTGGCATCACCAGTCACACCCTCTGGGTACTGGAAACACACAATCTCTGGACACCCCCTTTGCTCCCCAGTGGATTCCCTGGATCAGGAGGAGGCCCGTTCAGATGTACAAATGGCACTGTCTTCGGAGGGTCAGGCTGCAGGCGTCCCCAGCTTATAGATTCAACTCAGGTGTAAGTGAGATTCCTCCCTCCTTCCTTCCTCTGTGTCTTCCTTTTATCCCCATTCTCTATTTTTGAAGGTAACTTTGGTGCATAACATTATGCAGGTTTCAGGTGTACAGACCTAGACAGTGGCATCTGCGTACACGACACTGAGCTTGTCACCAAAAGTCTAGTTTCCACCTGTCGCCCTACAGCTGGCCCTTTTGTCCACTTTACCTTCCCCCTCCTGCCTTCTGAAATGGTATTTATCATTGTTTTAATGGCCATGGACATCCAACATCCGGATGGTTTAGGGACGACATTCCCTCGGGTGCAGCGGTTCCCCCAAACCAGGCACGTGTGCCCCCCAGGCCAACCCCCTCAGCCACCTGCTCAGGTCTACAGTTTAGCCCGCATGAAGCCCGCAGGCGAGTTCCCAGCAGGTGAGTTCCCAGCGTGTCCAGGGTGGGCTTCCACACCTCGACCAGCCCTCTTGTCCCCTTGTCGTGAGGCCTAAGGTTATTTTATGACTTGAGACTGTGATGTTGTTGCTATTTCAGCCACTACTCCCAGTGGGCCTGCAGTGGCTCAGCCACAGGACTCCCCACTTCATGCTTAGTCACCGGACACCCCTCTTCACGCTCAGCCACTGGACGAGGCTGTGGGAGGCTGCAGGGAGGGACACCCACCTCCCTGGCCCTAAGGCCTCTAGCCCACCTCAGCCCCTCTGGGAGAGGGGCCTCCCCTGCACAGCCTCAGCAAGGACACAGGAAGGAACATCACCTGGCACCTGCCGTGCACGCAGAGGTCGGTCTCGTAGGGCCCGCAAGGTGTGCCGTCCAGGACCCTGTCGGCTACCAGCAGTGGCGACTCCTTCCCCAGCGGCGAGCAGTACAGTTCACACGGCTTCTCTGAGGAGGGAAAGGCAAGCGTTACCATGGAAGCGGCATGTGTGGGTGCAGGGAGCAGGGGTGTACGGAGGGGGTGAGGCTGGACATGGCCCCACCTTGGAACACTCTACAGCAAATGGCGAAAGACCTCCGGCCCCGGTGGGTGGCATGGGGGGACAGGGTGTGGGGTTCTGTGGGTTCTCTCTCTTGTTCTCTCTATCCTTTGCAACAATACAGTATTTCCTTTTCTGAAGGCACTAAGGATATCAGGCAGAACCAGCGCTCTGCTGGGTGCCAACGTCTCAGTAAGTTGACCGTGGGTCAGGGTGAGTGTGGGGGCTGCTGCTGCAGTGGGGAGCAAAGGTGGGAAGGATGCTATGGGCAGGGGTGTGGGCCCCACAGGTGTCTCCCATGGCAGAGGCTTTGCCAGCACAGAGCTTCAGCGCTGAGGGACAAAAGCTGCAGGGCTGGTGGCAATAGGTCCTGGGTGAGGGGAGCTGGGGTGAGGTACAGAAAGGGAATGAGGGGCTTCCAAGGCAACTAAAGAGCCATGTCACCAGGCAGGACAGAAACCCTGGTTCCTGCAGTTTCTGGAAGCAGGTGAGTTCCCAGAACTTGCCAATTTCCCTCACCTAAGCTCTTTTCTCTGTCTGAAAGCCTCTCCCTATAGTCAATGTTCTGGAACATTCTCATCACCCCAGTGGTTGCAGCTCCTCTCTGGAGTTCCCTCTTCTCCCACCATGTCTGGCTTGAGTCTCTGTACTATGGGACATGCATTAAAGCCTCAGTGCTGTCCTGTTTCCCTAGAACTGTCTGAGCCACGGCCATGGACAAGGGGATTTCTTAAAGGTGGGCCCCAAGGCTAAAGGAGTTTGAAGGGACAGATTTAAATTACCTTTAGGCTGGAGAACCGACAGAACTGGGAGTTCTCAGAGGATAAAGGACTGAGCAATTGGCTTACAGAAGAACTTGGTAGGTATTTTTGTCTTTCTCTACTAACTTTAGAATCAGTTTGTCAATAGTCACAAAAGAACTTGCTGGAATTTGTAGGATGGCACGGAATCTACAGATCAGGTTGGGAAGAAGAGCGAGGAGGCAGAGCCCCTTGAGATGCTCTAAATAGTCTCCTTCAGGATGACTTGGGTGGGCAATTGATCTCCTTTATAAAACACCACAGTAAATGACATGAGGGCCTAGGATTCAGCCTTTGGCACATCACCAATACTCTTTCACCCTTAGTAGTACAGGAGGTCAGACAGTCTCAAAAGTTACGTGACCACACACCTCAAGGAGAGAGGCTTGGCGCACCCTCTGGTGTGGCTGTAGTCTGGCCAGATGGAAGTCAGATTGAGGCTGGACTGTGGGGAACGGCTCCCTGGTTCTCACTGGCCCACCTGTTGCCAGGATTAGGCTTGGAAGGAGAAGCAACAGACATGGCAGGGGGGATGGGCTCAGGGGCTCAAGAGCACATGGTCACATCAGCTTGGAGGGGTCCCAAGCACAGTTGTGGCTCCTTAGCCCTCATGCTCTTCATCTGCCAGTAGTTACAAGGTCTCACTAAGGTGGGATCTGTTTAAATTTGAGTACGAACCCAAGCCATATCTGGCCTTAGGTGCAGATACATGCTGAGAAGGCTGATCAGCCCCCTTGTCCCTAAAGCTGCCCAGCTTAACCCTATAGTCATGGACCAATAGCGGACACCTGACTGTAACTGGACCAACCAGACTCTCTGTCCCCACCTTGATTTAGAGCCACCCTGCTGTCACCTAACCAGCAGTGGCCATGTGACCGTGGTTAGACCAACCAGCCTCTCTGCTAGGAAACCTGCATGCAATTCAGACACAGAGAGGTATCTCTCATGCATGGTGTTTTTCAAAGAAGTCTCTCCTCTCTTATTGTCAATCCTGAAATCCCAAAAGCTCTGAAGATGGCAGGTGTTTTCTTACATTTATGACAAATACATTTGGCAGCAAAACTAGGGTTGGCTGACATGAGGCTGTGGCTGTGTCCAGTGCCCCTCCAAGAGATGAGTCATGGGTTACCTGGTAGAGATCTTCCTGTGTCTGATGTGGGTGCTTCTCTGACCCCACTGGGGAGGGGAGGATTAAGTAATATATGGTTGATGCACTGTTATTGCCTCACACCTAAAATACTCTCACCTGTGAACCACATTTGGCTCCAAAGGATTTGGATAAGGGAAAAAGACTGACATGAAAGACATTATGGCCGCCCGGCCAGTTCTGATAACACATGAGGGCAAGTTGTAAGAAAGTCTCTCTGAGTAGGTGTGGGAAGAAATGACTTACAGACACAGGAGTGGATGGAGAGAAAGCCCTGACATCTCCAGAGGCCCTGGACCTCTAGCTCCCACCATCACACCCCAACTCTCACCTGCCCCTTGGAACACATGACACCTGCATCTTTGCAACCACTTCCCTGCTTTTCCTAAAGCAACTCCAGCCAGCTTGGCCAACATGGGGTCCAAGAGCCCTAACCATCATCTCTTTCACTCCTGGAGGCTCAGACCAGGAGTGGGTTCTGTCTACTGGGGAGAAGGGAGCTAGAAAGGCATGTCAGACATGACCTTTGCCAAGCCCTCTGACACCTCAGTGGGCACAGGGCCTGCTGGCCTGTGGAGGGAGGACTGAACTCTTGATTTCCACTTAAGTGAGATGCCAGGGGGAAAGCAAAAAAGGGGGTGGGTTTGGAAATGTGCCATCTCAATGGGTTTCTGTCTCAGGCTTTTCCACTTAGAAATATTTTCTAAGGAGAGTCTTTGTCTTCTTTTGGAGGTGGTATGGGTTTGTGGTCCCGAGGCCTCCCTTGGAAAATCTACCTCTGCAAGAATTTTTTTTTTTCAAGAAGAGAAAAAAGAAAAAATATAGCTTCCCCTTTCTTGAACTGTGCGTAACTCGCCAAAGAATTCCGCAGTGATAGCAAGGCTATGAATAGGGCAGTCATTCGGGCTTGAGAAGCGCCCGACCGCAGGAATCACTCCTATCACGGCTGAGCTAGAATCGTGCCTTTTATAAACCGACTTCTGAGAGGAACACTGAGAATCTGTATTCTCCCCCGGCCTTTGAATCGGCCATTTATTATTTTGTTTACACCCTTGTGAAACAGTCCTTTTAAAAAATGCTAGCTTTTGTTGATATTTGAGAGGGAAATGAAACCAAATATGCAAGAAGTCATGACAATTGCACCCCAGAAGGGCTGCCCTTGCAAAGCCCTGAACTTGGGGTCTTTCAAAGGCAGAACACTTACTACCAGCTGGCAGTCCTTATCAGCTAGGGTTGCACTTTTAGATCAAAGACACTGGTGCTCTGGCTGTAACTATTTATTGCTTTGGCAGAAAGGAATAAAAATCAAGTAGGCGAAAATGCTTTCTGAAACCCAGTGAGCTCCCTGAATGGCTTCACCGCGCGGCTTCCCAGAGAGGGGCTGAGGAAGACATCAGATGCGGCCATGGAGCTAAGTGAACCATGGGGTTCAGCCACCCCAAGTGGTTAGGAGTGAAACAGACGTGGAATCTGCACTTGGAGAAATCTGCGGAAAAATGGAAGTGTGCGTGGGATTTCTGCGCTGAATAAAGGAGGTGGGAGACTTGAAAAAGGAAGCAAGACACCAGGAAAGAACAACTTCTGGCAAATAGCTGAGTGGAGGAGCCTGTCAGGTCCGACCGGGACAACCTGAGCTCTCACTTCTTGCTCCGGAAGGAGAGAATGCCCCAGATGAGCTACACTGGCTCTTCCTGGCAATCTGGGGACAGCTGGAGGTTTGGAAGCAAAGTCTGGTTATCAGAACTAGCTGCTGTGCTGGAAACACCAGGGCGCTGAGGGGGATCCCTCCTTAGGGACCCCAGGTACTGAGACCTTTGCGTCAGGTGAGCCAGGGTCAGTTGAGCTCCTGTCCTGGCTACAGTCATTCCTTTGGGAACTCTAAGGGGATCCTGGGGGGTGACTACACCTGGGATTTTCCTGTTACAACCATAGCATCCGCACATCCATCAGCGGTTGGGGGCCACGGGGAAGGGGCTGGGACACCCCACTGAGGTATTGCTGTGACTTGGTGCAGGAGGACTTGAGTTCTCCTTCCTCAGTCAGAGGGTGTAGTCTCCCCTCGGCAGAGAGCGCAAGGCAGGGAGGCTCCCTTCTCCTGAGGTCTGCAGGTCAGGTGCCAGCACAACTGCCATCATAAAGCTCCCTGAGGTGGTGTTCATTTTATACAAGGAAAATGTTTGGGAGACTCCTGGGCGCTTTAAGCTGAGCCCACGTCCGAACGGGCTGGTGTTATCTGATCTAAGCACCCCAGGCCGCTTTAGCCGAGGGTCTGAAGCCACTCTGGCTGGTTACCCACCTCCCACCTGCCAGCTATGCACACTGGAGCTTGTCCTGGCAGACTGATGGATGCAGGCTTCAGAGATTCTCACGACACATTTGTTTTCCAGCTTTCAAGACTAGGCACACATCAGGCCCTGCTGCTTCAGTTCTTATTAAAGCTCCTTCACTTTTCACTCATGAAATCACCTTTTCTGTCTTCCTCAAGTACTGGAAGCCAGATGAAGGCTGCTTATTCTCTGAGTCAGCTGCTCCGGAAGTGGGGTCAGCTCCTTTCCTGCTTCAGCTGCAGGAGTTTATAAACCTCTGGAAACCTGTACCTCTCATCTAGTTTTGTAGATTCAATGAGATGATGTCTGTGGGCTAACTTGCACCTGGCACATACGAGGCTCAATAAATGGGACCATATTGTCATCATCACAGCATCTTGGTTTTCTGAAGATGAGCAGAACTCCAGGTGTAAAAACCCTGCACTAGTCCTCACCTCAGACAAACACCACAAAGCCGAATGCGAGCGCATACACCACCTACAGCTGGACCAGGTACCGCAAACGCTTGCAACGACCCCCTGGGTGGAGTCTCTCAGTTGGGAGAAAGCCCTTGGAAAGAAAGTGTGACCTGCATTTGTTATCATCTTCCCCAAGCTGTAAACAGTCCACATAATTTATTTCCAAATATTCCAGTCAAGGGTAAGAGCCAACCCAAAATGAACCAAATGGGAAATGCAGGGACGCACGGACACTGAGGAGGGAGCGACAGACACGGGCGGTGCTGCTTCTGCGGCTCTGGCACTCCTGGAGGTTGGCCCTGGTCTCAGCACATGGCACCCACTGGCAGGCTGCCAGCCACCCGCCTTGGGAGCAATCTGGTTGGCTGCCTGCCTCACAGCTGCTCTTGGGAAATCTCAGCGAGCTGGGTTACCCAAGTTCACCCTTGCCGCTCAGAAAGTGGGTCAATGGCTGACTTGGACAGGACCATTGGGCGTCCTTTGGGTGGGCTGTGGGGGTGTGGAAAGGTGCTCTGTGGCTTTTCCTAGGAGATTTTCATGTTCTTAGGGGATGAGGCTGGGAGACCACTGGAAGGGACAGGCCATGTGCCTTACCGTCAACCACCACAGCCGTCAGCAGCCCCTTCTTGCTGCTCAGTCTGTCGTGTGTCTGGCACTGCTGGTCCCGGAAGCTGGGCAGGCCCTTGGGGCAGGGCAGGTTCTCACAGACCGCGTGCTCCACGCTGGCACCTGGGCAGTGTGTGCCTCCGGGCCCTGGCCTGAAAGAAGGGGACAGTCTGCATTAACCAGCCAGCGCTGCAGGAAGAGCAGGGTGCCCCCTGTTTGCCTCTCTTGCTGGGAGGGGGAGGGGCCAGGCAAGGTTTCCAAAGGAAACCCCCACCCTGCTCCCACAGACCATAGCACAGCAATCCCAGGCCCACGCTGACGGCATGTTTAAGTGAGCCGTCAGAAAAAAACCTATCCAAGAACTATAAATCAAGGTCATCTGGAAATAGAATACAGTGAGTATTAGTTCAGCAAGATCCACAAATTGTGTCTTTCATCTGAACTTAAAACTTGGCCATCTGTAACACTGAAACCCCAAGGGGAATATTTGGTGTGTGTGAGGTTTTTGGTGGGGGGAGGGGGCTTCTTCTACAAAATGAAGAACCTAAATTGTTCCCAGGTACACTCTGGAGGTGGTTAAGTTTTAGGATGAGTGAGTCAACAGCTCTCACTGATTTTATAATAAAAAGAATCAGAGCGAATCATTTGCTGATTCCAGCTCTGGCACCTCCATGAGGGCAGGTGTGGACTGTGTGTGGCCAGTGCCGAGGCCATGGGTCCTGGACCCTCTGTGCTGAGGCTGAGCCATCAGCAGTTCTGTGGCCCTGGCTGTGTTCTCTGGCCAAGTCCATGCGCGTGCGGGCCAGGGAGGGGCAGCAGGACCAGGATGGGCAGGCTGCACGGGCTCTGCCCAGCTACTCCACAAACCTCACAGCACTCAGCCTGGGCCACCTTGATGGCTCCTTGGTCTCCGTGATGCCAAGATCATAGTGAGAGAGTCAGAATGGCCCCCTGCACTTTTTACTGAAATTAGGCAGACGAGAGCAAATAGCAGCGACCACAACTGTTCAATGGCTCAATGACATTTGATAAACAATACTCATTACCGGCAGGCAGTCATTTTGATACATTCACCATGTCACTTGACCATTTTCCACATTCGGGCAGTGAGGCCATCCTGTGGTCACTGCCTAGAGGGAGAGCAAGGGCTGCAGAGGCAGCAGGTGTGCAGGCGGCTGCACTGATAAACGTTGTCTACAAAAGGCCAGATGGTGAACATTTTTGGCCTGTGGGCCACATAGTCTGTTGCAACTGCTCGACTCTTCCGCTGGAGCGCAAAAGCAGCCAGAGACAATGTGTAAACAAAAGGGCATGGCTGTGTACCAACAAAACTATTTACAAAACCAGGGGGTGGCCAGATTTAGTCCACAGTCACAGTTTGTCAGCTCCTGGTCCTACAAAGTGCATGTGAGAGAAAACACCCCGAGGAGGAAGAAAGGTCCCTCCTCTCTGTCCACAGGCTCCAGACAACCAGTCCCTTGTCTGGGAGTGGAGGTGGCCTATAGAGGGGCAATGAGTGCCCATCTCCTTAGAGAGCAAAACCTCTCTAAGGCTTATGGGACCTGAAAACAGGAGGACCGTGTGTTCTTTTTCTTGTCCAGAGCAGCAGGGGGACAGCTGGGGCTCAGACAAATGATAGCTTAGCATGTTTAGCAAGATGGAGTCTCAGACAACCTCCCCAAGAGCTCTGGGCCCAGGTGTAGACAGATGTGCCCTCTGCCACAGACAGTGGATTGGAAGGAACAGAGAAGTTGGCCCTGTGGACCAGCGGGAGGGACGTCCCTGCTGACAGTTGCATTCCCATGCTTGCTAGAACCAGAGGAGGCAGCAGCAGATACTGCAGAGTGAGTTGAATGTGTTCTGGGTTAAATGTGTCCTTCCCCAAATTCCTATGTCAAAGTCCTTGCCCGCACTACCTTGCAATGGGGCCGCCTTTGGAAACAGCACTGTCGCAGATGTAGTCAGTTAAGATGAGATCATGCTAGAGTGGGGTGGACTCCAGATCCAAGACCACTGGTGTTGTTATAAAATGGGAAATCTGGAGACACACACAGCACACACAGGGGGACACCATGTGTGATGAAGACAGAGCTAGGGTGACCCTCTCCACTGTAAGAATGTCAAAGATGGCTAGCAAACCAGCAGAAGTTAGCACAGAGGCGTGGAACACATTCTCCTTACAGCCTTCAGAGGGAACCAATCCTTTCAACATCCTGATCTTGGCCTTCTGGCTCCAGAACTGGGAGGAGATACACTTTTGTTGTTAACAGCACCCGTGTGTGGACATTCATGGCAGCCCACAGGTTCTGGGAGGCCAGGTGTCATGAAGGCCAGACACATCCTCACTGAGCTTAGATGTAGATGCAGGGAAGTGGGGCAAAATCTCCTAAAGTGATTAGGAATCCCACACAGAACTAGAGTGAAAATCAAAAATATAAACTAGGTTGGGTTCTAGAAAAATTAAAAAAAAAAACTATTTCTTGCACACCTTCAGGTTGGTACCTGTCAGGGAGGTAGCTTCCTGGGGGTTTTGCATTTTGTTTCAGCTTCTGTTGCATCCATGCCCATCAATAAATTTTTTTTCAAATTTATATCTGACCGACCCTCATACACCAACTACTTCTACACCTTGTAGCAGAGGGGTAGAAAGGTGATGTGACCCAAGAGAGCTCTTTGATTCAGCCTGCGAGGGGCAGGTCACGGGACGTGACATGGGCCTTGGGGTGCGTCCCTCCTGAACTCTGCTTTCCTGCTTCTCCTCCCACCTGCCATTACACCATCTCCTGCACCCCCACCCCGGTTCCCTGCCTATCTTTGTGGCCACCTCCACCCTGTAGCTTATTTTTCCTTCCTTCCTGGAGCTGCTCCTGACCTTTCTTGGGTCTCTTCTAGAACTATTGTGCAGTGCTGGGCTCCTGTCTTCCTCCTGTGCCCCTGTAGCCTTGAGCAGGGAATGTCAACGGGCACTTCACAAGAAATGCTGTTCAAATGGCAGATACAGACACAAACAGACACACCGCCTCTTTACTTCTGAGAAATGCAAATCAGAACCTCAGGAGGTACCGCCTCATACCCACCAAAACGGCCTACGTGAAAAAGGTAGACTATAGGGAGTATGGGTGAGGCTGAGAGCAGTGGGGAGCTTGCCACTCCACATGGCAGGGCCACTCTGCAAAGCTGGCAGTGCCCGCCCCACCGCAGGAGCACGGGCAGGACAGCAGGTGGCCACTCCTGGGGCCATGCACCCACACTGGCCTGCACCCACGATCCCCTGCCAGCGGCACTGTGCTGGGGCTGCACCCCACAGGTGCATCATCTGCCTGTTCTACCTTAATGAAGAGGTTTTAAAATGAGGAAAAGATAAGGTAGAGAGGTGTTCATGAGACACTGAAAGTGCAGAGGAAAAGTAGAGTTTCTCCCCAAATCTTCCTCTCAGATCCTGCAGAGGAGGGCGTCTCCTGGGGTTGGGGTTCCAAAGTTGCTGGTGCAGACCCCAATGCAGAGCAGGGAGGCAGCAAAAGCCTGCAGACACAAACCCACCACACCTGTCCTGGTTTGTAAGCAGGAGGAGGAGCAGGGGGTAAGCAGGATGAGGTGGGAAGAAGAGTAAGATGCCAGCTGAGTGGCATCTTAACTTTTTTTTTCCTTTTTTTGCTGTGCTCTAGTCAATGAAGATGTTGGAGGATAAATCAATCACAACAGCACTTCAGATCTGCTTACGATACAGACACAGGTTGCTCAGCCGTGGGGGGTTCTACCTGCACAGGTACGGATGGTTTTGAGGGTGAGCCGGGCACTGGGGCACATCTCAGAAAAGGCAGAGAGTTGCTCACACCCCTTCCAAGCAACAGATGTCCTAGTACTAAGGCCTCCTCTGAAAGGTATCCAAGGAACACATGTAGCTTATGCTTCAGTGCAGAAGGCTTGAATTGAAAAGAACCATCCATATACACACCAGGTCACTGTACACACGTGGGGCTTCGCTGTGGAGCAAAACACAATTACAGCAGAGAACTCAGCTCCCCCTGGCCTGCCATGGGTCTTAGGAATTTCGCTGCTGTCCTCTTGGTGCTCATGGGGTGAGACCCCATGTAACCCCCAAGTCAACCCCGCTTTTGTGCTGCACTCACCTTCCCAAGTGCCAACCTCCCACCCACCTGCTCTGGCTGCAGCACAGCAGGCTCTTCCCACAAGAGCCTCTTCCTGCACCCTCCCCAGAACACCAGCCTTCTGATTGAGTTATTTCATTGAGCGAACACTGGTATACAAAGTTGTGGGTGTACTGAAGTAGAGGATCTCCCTCTCAGGCTGGCAGGCTTGGGGCAGAAACAGCTACTGACAGTGACAATGATGATGGAAGGAAAAAGACAGGCCTGCGGAGCTGGCTTAAAAACACACGGTCCCCATGGCCTTGATGTCAGCTGGCAAGAAATAAAACTACCAATAGCGGCAAAGACCAAGACTAGAAAAAAAGGTGGGGGACAACTCTTGGCCAGTGTTTTTGGACAGTGAATATACCAGCTGCAGAAGACAGGAAAGGAGCTGGGAATACAAAGTGGAGGGGGTGGGGTGAGCGCTGTGGGAGTGTTCCAAGTCTGAGATGTACAAGCAGTGGGATTTGGCCTTCCTTGCGAAATCTCAAGGCAGCGAGCCTGGTGATTTAAGGAGTGAGCCTGGGAGAGGACGTTGTTTTGGTCAGAGCTTGGCTCCAGGGCCTCGATCAGCTGTGCTTTGTTACAATCACCGCATCAGTCCATTCGCCAAAGCAGGCTGGCCATCGCGGCCTGCACTCCCTAAGCCCTGTCTGCGTCCCGAGTCAACGGAAGCTCTGGCCGCCGCCCACCTGCCCACTGCTTGCCCAGCCTGCCCTTCCCAGGCACCAGAGGTGGGTCTGGGAAGGTGAGGAACCCTATAGAAATCTACAAGGAAAGAAGAGCATGTGGTTTCTTTTCAGAACAGGAATCAGAGTCAGGCTGTTATTGCGAAAGACTGGACAGGCTACCAAGGAGGAAATATTACAGGGGCAAAACCATTACTTCTCTCATTTGGGATAAACACGGTGGGGTGATACTTTGGAGCTTGCTCCTGGGAGGGGCTCTAGCTGTGAGCTTGGACCTTGCTGAGTGAAGATGGCCCTGAGGCGCAGGGGAACCTGGACCCTACCTCCAGGCTGGTCACAGCATTGGGGCCTCAGTAAGACGAAATGGAACAAGGGCAGGGGCCCATCTGGTGATCCCCCTTCTTGGTATAATTTATGATAACAGTTTTGGGGGAACAATGATATTAGGTGCATGCTGGGGGGTGACTGGAATTGCAGAGAGATTGCAAGGAGGCTCCCAGGCAGTTGCACATGGAAGGCAGGCCTCTGCCACCAGCATGGAAGGCTGAATGGGATGCATCACGTGGTGTGGATCCTGCCTTCAGAGCGTAAAGGCAGCGGGGTGGGCGAATGAAAACAGCCGACCGAACAGGTCAGGGTGATAATGAGTTGCCACGATACTTGACACACTAAAAGGGGCATGAGCAGTGGGGAGGGAGAGAAGGAGAAAGAGACACCCCACTTTAAGCAAGGTGGACAGGGAAGCACACCTGTCTAAGAAGGTAGCACAAGGACACCCAAAGAGGGACAGGGGCCAGCTGGGGAGAGGGAACCGTACTCACAGCAGCCCTGAGGCGGGGTGTTGTGTCTGAGAATAGAAAGGAAGCTTCAGGACTGGGGTGGTTTGAGTGGGGGCTCCTTCCCTACCAAAGATAAGCCCAACCAGTGCCAGTAAATGGGACCCCATGGGAGAAGTGTCTGGGTTGCTGTAACTAAGGAATGCTTCATTGTGGGGCGGGACCATCCTGAGTTAAGGCAGGCTCTACATACCCTGACAAGTGTCCGCAGGAGAGACAGCCATGTAAGGGTGGGGATAGGCCAGGGTGACAAGTCGAGCAGAGAATGCCAGAAACCACAGACGCCAGAGTGGCTTGGAAAGGTCTCCTTCAGGGTTCTGGGATTGAACTGACCCTTGATTTCACTTTTGTTTTGAAGTGCTGGCTTCCAGAACGGTGACAGAATTCATTTCTGTTGTTTCCAGATATTAGGGTGTGGGAAGTTATTATGGCAGCCACAGGAAAGTAAGCAGGGAAGGACTGAAGGGCCCCAACAGAAAGAATTGGATTTATGCTGCAGTGGATCTCTCTGGAACTGAGAAGAACAGATTTGAGGTAGGGAGCAAGCAGGAAGCAGAGAGGCAGGTGCTAAGGTCTGAAAGGACCCGTGGTTGCAGGTTCTGGACCTGGCCCACTGGCAGGTGTGCTTCCCTGTCCACCTTGCTTAAAGTGGGGTGTCTCTTTCTCCTTATCTCCCTCCCCATACTAAAAGGGATCATGCCCCTTTTAGTATGTCAAGTATTGTGGCAACCAGCTGTGTGGCTGGTCCATTCTGGTTTTGAAACCTGACTCCTCCTGCTATACTATGTCAGGACCCTCTAAAGGAGGAAACTGAGGCCCAGAAAAAGGGCTTCCTTCAGGTCACAGTGTCAACAATCAACCAGGCCAGGTCCAAGCCTCCTGGCTGTGATTCCAGACCCAGAGCTCTTGTCTTAGGGCCAGAGGTGGAACTAATTTAACTTCACCACAGAGCAGCATAAAAGCTGAAACTGATCTCTGTTCATTTCTCACCATTCAGCTACACATGTTTGCGAATCATCTACTCATCTGTAATGGCTAAGGCCAGGTGTCCACTTGGCTGGCCACAGGGTGTCCAGGTTAAACATTCTATCTGGGTGGATCTGAGAGGGCGTTTCTGCTCTGTGAAGGCACGATCCACACCTGTATCATGCAACCCATTCAACCTTCTATGCTGGTGGCAGATTCAGTAAGACAGACGGCTACCCCCAATGTGGCAGGCATCTTCCAATCCATTGGGGGCCTGGATAGAACAGAAAGCAGAGGAAGGAGGAATTCACCTCACCTCTTCTCTCTGGCCTCACTGTCTCAATCCCCCTCACTGGGACGTGTCTCATCTTTTGACCTTGGACTGGGATTTATAACAGGCTCTCAAGGCCTTCAGTCCAGGGCCGAATGAGACCACCAGCTTCCTGGGCCGTTTGCCAATGGCGGACCGCGGGACTTCTTGGCTTCCACATAATGCCAACCAAGCCCTTATCATAAATCTCCACATAGTCTATAGGCCCTGGAATAATGTCACTTCTTTTAATATTATGCTGTGACTTTGATGAGAAAAAACAATCCCAGCTGACAATGAACAAAGCCACGTTATTCTTGGATGTGCTTTTGTTCAACATGGTTGAGGAGTTTCTAAGAACTGGTAAATAGCACATTAAGTGAGGTCCAACTGCATCGATATGTGTCCTGTTGCTTGTTTCTCTGGGGAATCCTAATACACCATCTATGCTTTTAATTAAGAAGTCATTCCTAAAGTATGAAATGCTCACCTACTATGTGTTAGATACTCTGCTGGGTGCTAGAGGGGACATTTTAACAAGACAAGGCCAGAGGGTGCAGCCCCATGACCACAATTCTTACAGCCCTGACTAAACACTGAGCATGAGCTTTCCTTGAACCCAGAAGTTTTCAGCCTTGCCGACCCCTGGAATCTCCTGGAGAGAGTCAAACAGCAATTCCCATCTCCCACCTGCTGAGCCTGTGACTTCCCTGCTCTGGGATATAGTTTGGACATCAAGATGGCTCAACACTATGGACTTAAACCATTTCTTCTTTAGTCACAATTGACAACCTGCTCATTTTCAAAATCAGTGTGATATAGTTGCTGGCACACAAGACCGATCATTGAAAGAAATATTAAAAATGGGAAATTCTGAGAGAAGAGAACCACCTGAGGTGAATGATAATAGAGCACAAAATATAGCCCTGAGTTTTGGTGAGACAATGTGCAAGGAGCCTGGGGTTCATCAGTGTCAGTAAAAGGAAGCCTGTAAGGAAAAAGAAAAACAAACTAAAAACAATTTTCTGTCAGATTTCTGTCCTTTGAAGAGGACAGGTGAAATATATTTGGACGGCCAAACCCACAGATGCTTTGTGACTCAACAGGCAGGCTGTTCCCAAATAAGGCAACAGCCAATTTGAAGGTCAGCCTCTTTGCTGAAGGTTCGAAGGCTTCCCTGGAATGACCTCAGTTAAGTAAGCTGGTGAAGGAGCCAGGAGGGAGAATTGTCTAGCCACCACGCCCAGGCCAGGAACAGGGAGCCAGGCCTCCACATAACCACCATGTTCACAGCAAGGAGCTGAGCTGCTGTTTGACACCCACAAAGCTCTCGCAGCCCAGGCCCTTAGTCCAAGTTCATTTCCCTTAAGCTCAAATTCTCAGTGGGAGACACTCCGTGCTCTGTGCAAGGCAGGGAGAGCTGCAGTTCGGAGCCCCAATCAAGGGACCCCGGGAAATGCCAGGACTTACGGGGGATTGTCGCATTTCCTCTGCCGGAAGCGGGCTCCAGTCCCACAGGTCCGGCTGCACATGCTCCAGGCGCCCCACAGGCTCCAGTCTCCGTCCACGTGCTCCGGGATGGGCGTCTTGCTCACACACTCCCCGGCGCGGCACCACTGAAATGCAGCAGGCGGGGCAGGGGTCAGGGCCTTGGTGGGGGGAAGCCGACCTGCTCACCCAACCCGGGAAAACACCACGGCACCAAATCCCGATTCCTTGCCTCTTGGCTCTAGAGGCAGGCTACTTCGTGGGTGCGTGCTTGCGAACCCCAGGAGCAGTGCCAAGTTACTAGACCTGGCACCTGTGTCATGTCCTGGGTTTGGGCTTTGCCTTAACCTTCCACATGGAGTGTGCTCCGTGAGGGCTTTCTAAATTCCCAGCGAAGGAAACCACATAGGTAACGAAGACCCCCGAGTGGCTGCCAACTACTTACTGTGAACACAGTGGTCTCTGGAGTGCCTGGAGTGGGCTCTGTGAGCATTTCCAAGGTGGCCAGGGGATGCTCCAGGGGCTCCCGAAGACAGTGCAGACTGCCTTGCTGGAGAGGCACCCACCACCCCACCCAGCAAATGTGCGGGGCCGAGTTTACCTTGTCTGCCCCACACTCTGTGCCATCCAGGGGAGGGTCCAGCTTGGTCTTGCAGGATGTGTCTCCTTCCACCAGGCACCACAGTCCGGCACACATGAGATGCTGCAGACGAGGGGGGCAGGTGAGCGTGGGGAGACATACAGGTCACAGTGGGGGCCAGAGGGTGCATCCCCATGACCACACTGGATTTGGGATTTGGAACGTGAGGAAGGATGCTCATGAATCCAGATGTCAAAAAAAAAAAAAAAGACAATTCAAAAAAACAAAGGGGTTTTATATCATTTCAACTGGTTCATTTTACTCAAAAAATTCAGTGCATTCACTCCTGAGAGGGCTTGTTTCCTAGGAATTCAGTTTAGCAGTTTAGCTACTGAGGCCCTGGGAGGTCACGGATGCAGGGTGCAGGCTGGGACCCACGACCAAACAAGCAGCCTCCAATTACTGTAGGAAGGTCTGACATGGGCTCCGCAGATCACACAGGGGAAGAGCTTCACCCCCGCGCCCGTCAGGAAGGGCAGCCTTTACATGGCCCAGAGGCAAGAGCCAAAAGGGACACCGAGCGCTCGGCCCCCAAGGTGGTGAAGTGGCGATTTTAATTCTTCCTGTGGTCACCTGTTTCCTAGTTCAGCTGAGCTGTGTGCAGTTTCTTAGAGCACTTCATCTACAGAATTTTCCAATGTGCACAAGCACACAATTAAAATGACTCTACTAAAAGCAGGCTTTTTTTAAACACAGAGATTCCCATTTTCATTCACAGGGCAAAGTGCTGAGCGCGAGACGATTTCTCGGAATAACCGAAGCCAACGTGGCCAGTGTCCTGCCCTCTGCTCCAGTCTCTCCTGCAGGACCCAGGGCAGACAGTATCCCCACACCAGCCTGCTGCTTCCCAAGGCTGCCGGCTGGGGGGTGACGTGGGCCACAAGGGATGGGAACTGGATCCTCCCGCTCCCCCTTCCTTGTGGGTGGGATGGCCCGAGGCCCACATGGCCACCTGCCCACCAATGCACCTTTCTTGACTCTCCTCCCCAACCTCTGGTCTCACTTTCCTGCCCCCTCACAGTGCTTCCTGGGATTTCATCCCAGATAAACTACTTGCACCCAAATCCTTGCCTCGTGGTCTGAAAATTGAGAACAGATGTACTTAAGGCTCTTTTAAAGATGCAGTACTTCCAGGATGCCAAACTCAATCACGGTGAAAAGGCCTGGGCTGAGACAGGGCCCTGCAGGGCATGGCTGGGGGCTTGGGGGCAGGGGGCACTTCCGGCCAGCTGAGGGTCAAGGAGCCTTGCAGCGCAGCTCCAGCCCATCACAGTGGGGCTTGCAAAGGGTGTGCCATGCTCAGTTTAGATGCCTGCTGTTCCAAGTAATCTCAAACATCTGCAGAGAATAGATGTGCAACTGTGCTGCCTGAAGTCAGAAAACATTTAGAAGCTGACGGAACCAAAAGAAAGACAACAAGGCGGAGGAAAGCAGAGCTGGAGAGGCTTTTACAAAGAGCTAAGAAAAGCTCAGAGCTCTTTCGCATTTTTCAAGTGTGTCAGAGCTGATCTGTGCCCTTAAGGAAGTTGATGATGCAAATGGAATAATGCACAAGCAGGTTCAGAAAAGCTGCCATGTCCCCATTATCGTCCACCCCTCGGCGGCACATTAACAAGGAGAGACCTGAGCGCCACACCAGCTGGACCCATAAAGACAGGCTGCACCTCATTAAGTGTTTGATTCCATGCACTCTGACCCAAGAACATTTGGAGAGTGTGGTGTGAGTGTGTGGACACGTGTTCATGAGACAAGGCTGATCCAGGAGGTGAATTTATGGGGTAGGAGCTCTTGGGATTCGAAGACATTGCTGACCCATCAGGAGAGAGAGGAAGAGGTGATGTGAGGGGTTTATTATGTACTTTATAGACAGTGCTGTCTCATAAAACTCTTCTAATCATCAAAGAAAAGGAGAAAGAGGCTAGGCAAAGCTTTCTTAGCAGAACACAAAAGTACAACCGTAAAGTCAGAAATTAATGAATTATACTACATTAAAATGAAGACCTTCTGCTTATCAAAAGACAACTAAGAAAGAAAAAGATATTTTCAAGACGTGAAATGATTTGTAATGCACAGAACCAACAAAATATTTCTATCCAAAATGCTTCTAAAAACCAAAAATTCCTACAGATTAATTAAGAAAAAGACTCAGTAGAAACATGGGGGGCAGGCAAAAGACTCACCCACTTCACAGTTAAGGACATAAAGAATTGCCAATAAACACAGGAACATGCTAAGCAGAGTGCTTAGTTTCATTCATCCAAGGCAAAGGAAAATCACCACCATATCCCCCCACATACCCACCAGAATAGCTAGAACAAAGGAGATGGAGAATACTCAGTGTTGACAAGGATATGGTGTGATAAGAACTCTCATAAATGAACGATGAGGTTCTAACTTGGTTCAACAACTTTGGAAAACTCTGAAAATATTTACTAAACTTAAAACATGTACATTCTCATACTCAAAAGTTCCAATTCTAGGTGTGTTGTCAACCAGAAATGTGTGTATGTCTGCCAAAAACATTGTCAACAATGTCCATAGCAACAATATTTGCATCAGTCCCTAAGTTGAAAACAATCTAAATAATGGCCATCAATAAAGAACACATGAATTGTGTTATGTTGGGACATGGGAACACTATGTAATTCCATTTGTATGAAGTTCAAAAACAAGTATGAGAAAATGATAGTGTTAGGAGCCAGGATAGTGATTACCTTTTGTTTCGCTTAAAAACAAGGTGAATGGACATAAAAGGCAAGTCAGAACTGCAGACTTTGACCTCAGCTTGGCCACCAGCATTACTCAGGTGCCCAAGACCTTGCAATTTGCTTCACTACTAGACAAACAGGGTGGCTATGTTAACATGTGTCACCAGGAAGCCTTCCAGAAGGATAGCTGGCATTGGTGCCATGCTTTACAAGAGACAAAGTGCTCTAACATCTGTCATGGTGAGGCTCATGGGGCTATGGGGACAAGGTGGAATGGGGCTTTGTTTTTCTACTTTTCTAATGAGGAGGCAGGTATTTGTGAAGGTCAGGGACCATGAGCTGGGCCAGAAACACTGGTCTGAAAGTTCACTGACCAAGGTTCATATCCTTATTTGTGACCCATGTGGTGGGGTATGGGTGGGTCTGCTTTATAAAAATGAATCAAGCTTTACACATGATGTGGACACTTTTACATAAGCAAAACTATTCAATGAAAGAAAGAAAGAAAAGGAAGGAAGGCAGTGAGAAATGCCTCTTAGACTGGTGATGGAAGAGTCTCTGGATTCAACTTGAGGCAGGGAAACCATGACTTTACAAAGATATTAAAGGATAGCCTGTATGTTTTGGAAGCCATATCTCAGAGCAGGAGAGGGACTCTGCATGATGTGAAGTGTCTGCAGGTTTGGATGGAGCACACACACAGGCACACACACACAATCCTCTCAAGAATTCCTGCAAGCCCGGAAACAGATCTGGTTCTCTCTCACTGACATGAAAAACTCTGGTCCAGGAATACTCAGAGGTTAACAATAACAGAAGAGAATGAGCTCAGGATCCATGCTGATGTAGAACAAGTAAAACAGGGAGGAGAATCAGGAGGGAAGAAGCAAGTGTAGAATATTCACCAGATGACATGGTGATGGAAAGGCTAAAACACCAATAAAGCACAGTGCCAATTTTATTTTGTTTAAGATGCATCATTATTTTATTTTTAAAAATTATTTATATATATTTTATATCATTGTTCATTTTTAAACAATGTTTGCTTTTTTGTCCCTCAAGTGTAGTCCCCATAGAATTTTTTTTTAAAATTTATTTTAATACATTTTACATTGATAAGTTTAAAACCATAATAAATGTCTCTTTTTGCATTTGTATTTGGAAAGATCAAACACACAAGACTCAGGGAAGAGATGGGATCACTTCAAAGGAGATAAAATACAAACTATCAGAACTTGGTCAAGAAATGTAAGAGAAAATAAAACCAAATGACCAATGAAGGCAACTTTGAAAGCAGTATGAAGGAGAAGAGACACCTGGACATGCAGGGAGATGCCCAGAGTTGATGATTGAACAAAAGGGGGTTAAATCAATGAGAAATGAGTAAATAACTAAAAAAGAGTCAGAGGAAATGACAGATGTGAATTTTTGTTCTTGGAGATTAGAGGATGAGCTTCAATTAAGTAAGAATGAATGGAAAACCCACTCACTGAAGGACTAGAAGTGAGTGCTGATGAAACACGAGCAGGGACTGAAGTTAGACAACTGTATATTTATGCACTGAATTCAGGGGAGATAAGGCAGAAGTGACATTGATAAGAACAGACTTGGAGGAAAAGGTACGGTAGCTCGGAGCTGTAGAAGATTGTTTATAGGCAGCCATTTCTTTATCCCATGTAGCTGGGGGAGGAGCAAAACATAACAGATAAATAGAATAGCAGATATAAGAACCCGTAAAAGTAAAATAATAATGAAATGATAAAACTGGGTGGTGGAGGGAATGGAAAGGGGGGATTTAGAGGTAGAAATGCATTTATTTCATCGTGCTCATGTTGTAAGGTTACAGAGAAATTCCAAAGAGAAGGGTGCTTGAGGTACCTTCAGCAAATGGCAGAACAGACACTCTGTGGGAGGCAGGGCTGTTGTTCCATTACTAAGTATTGTGATAAAACATGTGATAAAACATGTTTATTGTGATAAAACATGCTGAGCTTACCAGAGGTCAAGAAAATATTCAAGGTAACAAATATAAAATGTATACATGGCAATGTTTACACTTTAGTATAAACACTCCAAGCAGTGGTGCACACGTACAAGGGGGTGTTCTTGGAAGACCAGCAATGCCCATGGCATTAATCTTGGAGAATAAGTTAAACTAGCAGTAAGGTCATAAGCTCTGCCTGGGACACCAAGATTAAACCAGGGACTCTGGAAGGGAAGGGTACTTCCCAGTTCGAGAAGGATTGATAACACCTCCTGGTTTTGGTTGAGACAAATACATTCTCTCTGAAGGAAAGCAATTACCATGCAGGCTCTCCCAATCTATTCAACAAAATGTAAAATCATAATCAACCA